TGTGTCTGCCCAGGGTTTGTCCCACCTTTTTGCTGTATTGCGAAATTCTACAAGCTGAAGAGCAGAGTAATATGATGTCAGAAGCTATGCTCCAAACTCTTCAGCCTTGTTTCTGTGTCTTCAGAAGAGGCCTATTTTTTAACTCCTCCCAGCATGGTCTCCCTTCTCACCCTGTCTATTCTAATACTAATCCTAAAACATTTATTCAATTTTCCTAGCTTCTAGTTCATACCTGCGACCATATTCTCCAACCCTGAATTCAGATACTCTCTAGACTTTACATGAGTTGTTCTCATCTGTATTATATTTGGTGCAAGGTGACAGCATAAATTGTAATCTCTATCTACTGCTCCAGACTAAGCTTAATCACTGGATACAGTTACTCACATCTAAGTTCATAAAAACACTTATTTGCAGCAGGTTTACCACACTAACCTCAGCCATCACATCCTCACTCCCCTCCCAAATTCAAGCTCTCTAAGGAAATAGGAAGACCAAACTCACATATAAAGAAATCATGAGCAAGGAATTCATTTGGGAGAAAGGAAGGACAGTAGGGTCACTTTTCAGTTGTAGCTAAAGGAGACAACATTCCTCTTTTATGTTGCTAGGATTTGAAACCAACCTACTTAAGAACACCTTTCACAGCAATTTGCTTGGAAATAATCGTAATGTGTTAGTCAGTGGACCTCTTTCTCATTCATTTGTTCCCACCTTTATATTTAACAAACAAGACAAAAGCACACACTTACTTGGCTCCAACCTCCTCTATATATGAAAGGCAACACAAAAGAAATGCTTGTAAGCAAGACTGTGGTCAACATAAGCATACGATGCACCTAGAAAAGTTAAGTTTGCATTTAGACAATCTACAGCTTTAACACATCATTGAAAGACACTAAACAGACATCAGTTAAAGATGTTCTTAGTGCCCTCTTTAGACGTTTCTTTTATTAAGAAAGGAGATTACCTGATTCTTAATTGTTTCATTTTATAAGATCATAGATGTAAATCACACCATGTTTAGTCTCCTATTTTTTGGATTTAATAGGTTTATAATTCTGCTTACAATAATACTAGAAAACACAACTGGAGATATGGGTATTTTGCCCACCTGAAACCACATCTCCTTTCCAAACAGGAATGAATGAGCCCAGACAGGTTTGAAGAATCGTGCAACAATAACACCAATACTAACTGTGGTAATCCAAGCAACAAACATCAGCGCTCCTGAAAATTGAGGGAAAGAAACACAAGGAAAATGAGTAACTTAAGTGCATTTGAATACAACTTAGAAGACTTATGTGATAGTTTAGTCCTTACGCATATGCTCAGAATTAACCAGTGAGTAAAAATTTATCACCTGGTTCAGACTGCAGCCTTACAGCATTTCTCTTGCTAGAGGGCAGAAGCACCCAGGTAAGAGATAATCATACTATGCCCACACAGCACAACAGCGCAGCTCTGGCTACTGCACACTTCATACATGCCAACACAGTCCCTGCATGCTGGTGAGAGGCACCATTCTATCACCAACTCAGAAATGAGAGAATGAAAGATAACACTGCTACAATCTGTGTGAGAAAGAAATGAGTGACTCTCATGGACCCGTGTTCAAGTCCAGTACTGAGAGAAAAAATTCTAATTAACTTCAGTGACTCCAGAGAGCCAGTTGAGTCTTTTCTTATTTCAAATAGAACTAAGCAAATAATGCAGCTAGAACAACTTGAACCAGAGAGCCAAGGAGAAACAATCCTAATCATAAACGTTGTGAAAAAGACAAATGCAGGTTCATTTTCCTGAGCAAAAAGAAACAATCTGTTCTTGAAATGAAATATTTATAGCCTCACTCTGCTACCACAGTAGTGGATCTTGCTAGCCAACATGAACGTCGGAAAAATGAGAGGAAATACCTACTCTGCAAAACTCTATAGTCTCAGGAAGTCTAGAGCTGGAAGACAAAACTAGAAGGCACAGCTTACCATGAGCTTTGATAAGTCGTGGGGACCGGGAGCCTCCAATATCCTGAGGAGGACCTGTGACATCGTACAGTCCATCGGTGATCAGGGGCTGACGATGATGTTTGTATATTAGTCCACCTAAGCAGTGACATAAAGCAGGTTATTAATTGTTAATGAAAGCCACTGGACTTGTAAGTGTGCCCATTCCTTATTCATGAATGTTGTGACCCCTGAGCATAATTGTGCAAAATTTCTGACATTCAGTACGCTAAGAACCTAAGATGTCATCTTAGCTATCTTGCACACCTCATGTACAAGAATCAACCCACCCCTCTACAGGAAATATCTTTCTCCACTACATGCACAGGACATGAAGAATAATTCCCTTAGGTGCTAGTCTCTATTTTTTTTAAAAAAGTGTGTCCAGTTCTCAAGAAGCTACCAGTTCCTAGCATCAAGTGAGCACACAACAACACATATATGAGTAAGTTTATGACAACTTCAAAAAGCAAACCTGTGATCCAGAAAGGTAGGAAAGGTGACTGGATTAAGGGCCTCAAACTTGGGAACCTTAGTTCAGACACTAGTTCTCAGCTAAGCCATATCTTACAGAAGGGTTGTTACTAACTCATTCAGGGCTGTTTAAAGAAAGGCAACCACATATAAGTCAAGCTTACCTCCACTAGCTTCCCCATCTGCCAGAAAGATGTAGTAACTGGCATCCAGATTAAATCTCTCTTTATAAGCAGGAAGATGAATACCTCTTCTGAAAGAACATTGAAGAACACCCTCCACAAGCCTCCACGACACATCTTCAAGGGCATTCTGTGAAACAGCAGATACTTAACACCCAGTGTTTTCAGACTAGCGGAGTAATAACCTTAAAAGTAACCCTGCACAAGAATGTCACTGCTGCACAAAAAAGATCACCAATCTGAGGAGGGGGAATCTCTCTTGCATGCCAATAAGTCAATATAGCCAAATATAGGTTGGACTTATTATCACCAATTTTTCCAGCTCATGATCTCCTCTTCCCTTTCAACCTTTAATCTAAGATGTATCAATTCCAACTGCAGCCCTAGCCAAGGGACAGAGTAATAATAGGCACAAAGGTTCTCAATACATTAAGCTCCCACCACGTGACTTATTTTTACAATTCAGACATCCAAAGTTAACATTTACTTGGAAGTAAGAGTCCAACCAATTTCACCTCAATGAACTATGGATCCACCTTAGTATTTGCATCTCTTGTGCAAAATAAAAGCACAAAGAAACACTGTACCTCACTTCAAAGCTACGTTTGTGGAAAGGTCTTGGTTCTTTTCAAATGTACCTCTGAATCCAAGAGAGGACGACTTCGCCCTGTCAGATGGGCAGTGCCCACACGAACACGGTGGTCCTCGTTAACACACAGATACGCATCATCACCACCCTGAAGAGTTTAAAAGAAAAGTACATATAGCCCAATAAAAAACACTACTGGCAGACTCCAAAAGTTCTTTGATTTAAATATAGGCACAGCAAGACCTGAGACAGATTTCTGTAGTTTTCAAGCTATTATTTCCATCTTTCAAACACAGCTGCATTATTACAGAGGAACTGCATTAAGTCAAAGAGATGACACAAACACACGTTATAATTTACACATCCCTCTGTTCCAAACTAACAGCCATATTATAAGAAGTTTCTTTAATTATTTAGAATTTACTAAATCAACTAGACAAGACAGAGATGGATGTTGCTGTTATTTAACAATCCGCTTCAGTTACAAGATGGTTTTCTTCACAGTTGTAAAGACAAAGTTTTGTTAAGAACCAAGTTTTCCTGCACTAGGGGTATGAATATAAACAGCATTTCCTTTGTGCAACAAGTAGTTTATGGATTATGCATTTGTCAACAGCATCATCCCTTCCTTTTAAACATCAGTTCAAAAAAAGGAACTTTAAACATTTTTTAAGATTGAATGGAGTTATTTCTATACAAACAATCAATCATGAAATTAAATGGTTTTCAGAATAACAACTCAGCTTCTGACAGGTGAGGTTCTTTTGGCTAGGTAACAAAGACTGATCTAACTAGGAATTTCAGTCAACAGACAGGTTGGATTCTGCCATAGCAGATACCAAGAGGGAAACTCTACTGCAATTAGTCAGTCCTGAGCTAAAACTGAATATCCATTATAAAATGCAACTTCTGTTTTAGCTCTATGGGAGAGTCACACTTCATGTGACATGTAACAGTATTTCCATTTTCCATATGCAGGTTTTGGTAGAGTACCATTCAAAACTTCCTAAACTCACAAAAGGAACTATAGAAATAGAATAGAAACTCACCATCCACTGGTCATGGGACAATGCAAATGCTAAATAGCCTTCACTTGGACCACTCATTTCAATAAATACTGAACTCTCCTCTTTTTGGAAGGATAGAAAAAAACAGGAAGCACTTTCAGGATCACAGTTTGAAGGGTTCCTAATGCAGAACTTCATACTTCCACAGCCCGAGGCACTAAACTAGACAATTAAGGAAACAAACAAATCATAAGCAATGAGAGTTTCCCTCCTCTCCCTCCCTTTCTACCCATTCTAGAAAAATAAAAAACTACAAAGAACAACAAAAAAAAATTTCATCTATGTCTACACACCAATCTCTTAACCCATGCCTACAAGTGCTTTAAGACAAGTAAAGTGACGGTGAATTCCAAGCTGTACTTTTACTCAAGTTGATCTTCCCCTTAAAAGACATTCTAATAGAATAACCTTGAAAAGATAGTAAAAATTTCAGAGAAGCTTCCATTCATTTAATATTTAGAGAGGTAATACCAGCTGTAGTATGAGGAAGCTTTGTGTTTCCTTTTTAAAGTATAAATTCCATTTATACACATTGAAAAAAATACAGGGATTAAAATTCACAGTTACCCTGAATACAGTCTTTCTTGTTCAATCCATTTAAAAATCAGTAACAGAAGGCAGTAACAGATGAACTCCCAGGAAGAAGGTTTCTGAGCCTGCAGTTGCTAAATAGCAGACTATCGGTCAAGACCAGAGCAAGTCTTTTCCCACCTCTCTTCACAATTATGCAAAATGTTTCCTTATCATTAAGTTCTAAATATTCTATCTACCTTTTGACCTGTGTGCAGCATGAGAACATTTAACCCTTAGAAGTTCAGGCTACTCAACTAACACAAGAAGGTAGGTGGTTACGCTTTTATCCTGAGATATCAAAGTTGCTCATCTCTCCTTTTCTGTCAATAGCCCGTATCTATGTAATTTTGTTAGATTCCATTAATCATAAGCATTAAAGACAGATTTATTTATCATTACTTACTGGCTTTGATAAGGAGGAAACTGGGTATGAAGTTGACACAGCCTCTGAAGTTGTATGCAAAGGTGTTGTTGGGGACAGCACACCAGGCTGAGAAACAGTGGGACCTGGAATCTTCACCCAGAAAGTCCTGTATTTCTTGACAACTGTGGCTCTTAAACACAATACTCAGAGTCATTACTGCATACATCAACAGCTGATTGCTACTTAAAAAATGAAAAGCTTCTATAGTTCATACAACTTATTTGTAAAACCCTCATCTTTAAGTAGGTCTCTATGATTTTAGGGATTGAAGTAGGAAAATATCTTAAGCCTCAGTAGATAAAGAATTTTAAAATATCATACTGCCTTCTGCAGTGGATATAAGAAACATTCATGCCTGTGGCATAGATTACAATTTCAGAGCTGCATTGCACTTGTTATAGTTCACAAGAAGCCAGTAGTGTAACAGAAGGGTGTACAAATAATTTGGTTAGGTACAAGCAAAGAAAAAATATTCTTAACACTGTACATTACAGGCATGAGAAGCGAGAAGTTATCTAAAAATATTCAAGACATCAGCCTCCAAATTCTCTTCTATTCTCCCTGCAAAATATCAAAGCACTCACCTGCAAGCTCTCCCTAAACAACAAGTGTGTGCACTAATGCAGGCTCTGCAGCAAGTAAGGGATGTTGCCTTTTCAGGTCATTGGCCCAAGGGTACTTTTCAGTTGCTGGCCAGTATTTGACACAGGTAGTGGTACAGTTTTACCTTGCTTGCATTTTAATAAACTAAAACTGACACTGGATTTACTTACAGAAACTGTACATGTTTTGGTGCATCTCCAGGAGCAATCCAATAAACTTTCATGTGTTTCTTTTTTATTTTACTTGTCTGACTGACAGCTGAATTCTGAAAATACACACATCAAGAGTTACACAGTGGATATGCACTAAAGAGATGTTAATTAACACAGCACAGATTGCAGCTAAATCCTAAAGAGACTGTTACACTGCACAACCCCAGTGCAACTGGGTTTTCCCCAGTCAGTCATGATCAACTCAGTGTGTGTAACTTGCAGTGGTGCACTTTAACAGACTTCAAGGCTAAAAGGAACAACTTTCAACCCATAAGATGCCAGCAATGAGACAGAAGCCTCTGCAGCATTTATGCAAAAATGGTGAGGTTTTGATAGAAAAATAAAGCTCCTTTTCTTGACAGTAAGAGGATGAAGAAACAGAGCAGTGACTACAGATAGAACAGTAATATTCCAGAGGACAAAATCCAGAAGTAGTCTTTGGATCAGACCATTTTTTAGACAAAATAAATAGATCAGGCACAGCACTGTCCTCTGAGCACAGAGGGCACCACCAGATATCCCCATGGCTTTACAGCACTGATGATGAGTACACTGAATGCCAGTGGGGGACAGGTGATAGAAGTGGGGAGAAAAGTGCATTTAAGCAGATTAGGAACTTTGTCCGCACCAGCTCAGATGACACTCTACATGTCCATGAAGTTCACACATGTTGCTGAAACACTAGTCAGAGTTCACCTCTCTTGCACATGAAGCCAACTCCTTTATCTAAAACAGATCTAACCTGTTACTAAGAAAGCTCCACTAGCAGTAAATGACAGAGTAACACTAAAGATAAAAGCCTAGTGTTTGGCCAGGTTGGATGGGGTTTGGAGCAATCTGGTGTAGTGGAAGTTGTCCCTGTCCATAGCAGGGGGGTTGGGGCTAGATAATCTTCAAGGTCCCTATCCAACCAAAACTATCCTATAAAATAATAAACCCTGTGAAATGGTGTTTGTTTACTACAATAACAGCCCTAAACGTTCCTTGCTCTAAGACATTTTCTCTGTCCTTACCAAGTATGAAAAAGCAAACAGATCATGCCCTTCTCCTTTTAATATTAGGAATATACTATATTCATTATGCACAAATAAATATTATGTTACAAGTAAGAATAGTCCAGGAAGTTGCAGTGAGTCTGCCTCTATACAGGACCAGTTTCCCTAAGAGCCTTACAAAGCTCAAATAAATTTACACAGCTCAGCTTTGTCCTACTACATAGACTGGTACAAACTCCTCAGTGCCTGAGACCTCATTTTCGGTCACTAGACTATACCTTGGTACGACCACACGTCAGGAGCTGAGAAAGTCTCCGGTCAGTTAACAGGAAAGAACCAACTGCAGGGCCATCCAGGTGTTCTGCATCCCGAGCTTGTATGAAAAATCCCTCAAAATCTGGTCCAGACAGACTGACTGAAGCAAGAAGAAAAATAAAAGTCAGTTGAAATGTTCTCCAAAGGAAGAATATTTCAGCAATAACTGCCAGATGCTCATTGGACGAGTACTGAATGATGGTTAATGGATCATCTAAAGAACATTCAATTGCTTAGATAAATCTAGTATAGCAAACTGAGTAAAGACATGCTGCAACACAACAAAACCGTAAGTTTAACTCTTGAGCTGTAACTGACCTTCTATGCTGTCTCCTGGTTTAAACTGAGTGCCATTCACTGTGATGGTGTGCACAGGCGACAGTTGTGGAGAGCCACCATGACAGGGTATCATGCTAGTGCAGGCTTCTCTTACTTTTCCATTTGGATAGCCACCCACAGGTGTACAAAAGCAAATAAACATCCAAACAGCAACAGCAAGACTGGATAGCTCCATCTACATAAAATAAGATTTACAAGCAATTAAATACAATAAATGTTTATATTACAGGTCACAGCTCATCTTTTGAAGTCAGTTGAACATGCAAAAAAGTTTAAAAAAAAAAAAGTCATTCAGGAGAAGGTACCATTTCCAGCTGCTGAATAACCTCTGCTTCTGATAAATGCCACACTTTGCAAGAATGTTCTGAAACCATTTTTCAGGCCATCAAGAGAACAGATTGTAGAAGGATTATTTCCCTCTGTGCATTTTGACATCACTTCTTAAATGTCTTTTGCCTATCCCTCTCCTATTCTTTCTCAAAAAAAAAAAAAAAGTCCCTTAAACATCTGCACAGGACAGATGGATTTTAAAACTTGTTTCACAGATACATAAAGGTTGATAGTATTGAGGAACTATACAGTTATTATGAAACCCACTCTTCTATTAAGCATAGCTCCAATTTTACATCATTAAAGACTGCCTTTTTTTTCCCCCACAACCCGTGCTTATTTCTTCACATATGACAAATAATTCCCCAATAACAAGTTCTTCTTTCTGTAGGGAAACTAAAGTGTCAGAATTAAATTTTTTATATGCAAGAGTATAAATCTGGTATGAAGATTTAGACAAAGAAATATATATGTTTATTGCAGACAAGCACAAGACTTTTCCTTTGAACTCTTCCTGTTGGATATTGGACCTCTAGACAATTGATCAAACAATATCATTGCTTGTCACACACTCTTGTTAAGGGAACAGTAAACATGAAAAACACGTAGAGTAGTAGGACCACAGATCCTAACACAGTTATATGAACCACTGATCTCAGTTTTCATCACAATGTTTTGCTCAGCCACAACACTGTTTTCATAAAAGCTGTGGCAGTAGTTTGGTTTCTCAGTTACATGCAGGTTTACAGCTGTACTGCGGTTTTACAGAACACCTTGGACAACAAGAGAAAGCATTTGCATGTCCAAAGGGTGAGGAGTATAGAGATGAACTTCCTTTCAATCCTCAGGCACAAGAAAGGGCTATCAGCTTTAATGAAACAGACACAGACTGTCTGCCTTCTGAAAGAGCCATTCCCATTTTGCACCGAGTGATAAGAAGTATCAGGTTATGAAGTTCCCTGACACCACACGTGGACCTGAAGATAAGAAATACACAGAGCCATTTCGGTCTGAACTCTTGATACCTAAAAAGCAGCCAAATTATTCTCACACAATAAGAGAGTCATCAACTCTTCCAAAGTTCTCATACACTCAGTGCTAAAAATCCACAATATCTAAGGCGAGACTGCATTTGTACTTCAGCATAAGAGCTCCTCAACAACTTCAAACTAGTAAATAGAAGAAAAACAGAGGCAGGAAAGGTTTGAACAATTAGGTTTCAGGAACTAGAAAATAAAAACCCAACATTCAACTTCTCCTCCCAAATATTCAAGATAACATTATGATCATATCTTTAACTTCTACTTAAAGTGAACGTTTCCTTCTAGCTCCAATACTCTGCAAACTGTCACAAGTTTACATCAAAGTGATTTTATTTACAAGTTAAAGAACCACACAAAAACCTGAAAACTAAGGTTCAGTACAATTATATGTACTGGAGAAATTTTTAAAACAAAGTTTCTGTAAGAAGAGATAAGGTTACACACTGCAGAGACAAGAAAAATAATAGGCTAGAATTCTGCTTTAAGTAGCAAAGGATGTGGTAGCGATTTAAAATGAAACAAGAAATATTCTCTGGCAGATTCAACTTACTCAAAAGCTGGCAGGAGAGAATTATTAAGCAGAAATAAATAGAAAGAAAAAGACCAAAACCTGAAAGCAATCAAGGTTTGTAATAAGCAAACACAATAAACTGCCAAATATTTAACTTTTTTCCTGCTATTACCCTTTGCAGAAAAAACAGATGAAGACAACTAGATCTCACAACAACATACACAAGCACAACTCTGGACAAAAAGCATCAGGATTAATGGCATGGAAAGTATTTGTTACAGAAAGGTTAAGTTTAGGAAAGCCAAAGTCTGGTATGTGAATCATTCTTAACCTTCCCACAAAAGAATAAATGCCTTTTAAAGTTAAAACAACTCTCCACCTGTAACAAGAAGGACCTGAGCAACTGATAAAAGCTATCATGTCTTACAGAACTAATTCCTTCTACTACTCTACTCTTTTTAGAAATATGTCAAAAATTAGGAAACCCAAGATTTAATTTGCAATCTAATAAAGATGAATCAGATCATCTTCACTAGATATGGACAAAAAACTGAGTCAAAATCACCATGTGCAGATTTAAAAGGACAATCTACACTGACCAAGTTTTGAGGTGTGTAAGCTGCCAAACAGCCAGCTGTTGTTTGTGGTATTTGAAAATACTCTCAGTTTTCACCATAACTTGCTATAAATTTTAAATTTGCCCATCTTGACAGAATTGGCATGCAAGTATTAAGAAGTTTTGACCATAATGGCTTATTTATAACCCTTTGAAATACAGCAACTCATTGGTGAGAGCCAATAGGAATTACCAGAGGGCAAAGCTCCGTGTGCTAAAGAGGAATAGGAATAAACTGACTTTAAGACTGAAGAATGAAAAGGTTAAAAATCAAAAGCTAAATTCCTGCAGCATTTTTCAACCGGCAATTCTCTAGTTCTTCTTGTTAACTTACTATCATTTGAACAGTCTGGAAAAAGAGGGAGTTGAAGGATTTGTGCACTATCCAGTGACTTGTTTTCCAAGGTAAATGCATTACACTGAAAAGCTCGTGTTAACCAAGATCCTTAGAGCACATACAATCTGGTTCCTCTGCCCTGCCTGCGTGCCAGCTGCACACCCTGTGGTAGCATCAGTAAATGCCCCAGTCAAGGTTACAACTGTGTGCTACAGAGCATGCCAGCTCTGTAGTCAGAACACAATCACATACCACTGACTGTTGATTTTTCTCAGTTTGTACTATACACAGATTTGTAAGTATGTTCTATATGACAAAATACAGCGCAAGATCCAGGAGTCTTGTCTCTACAGATACTAGCACATACCACATCATTACAGTTTAAGAGTCATTCAAAGCACTGTTTCATATCTTTATTCAGAATGGAAAAAATACTTCAATTCTCATTAGTTTGAAGCATGACAGTAAATATGTTATTCTTTCTCTCATCCTCCCTACTTAAATCTTCAGTATACTACATAACCCATCAGCCCCTGGCAGGCAAGAAAGTTTCAGAAAAAGGTTTTTCCAAGAAACTGTGTCATTACTAGTAATTTTAATGGTGTTTCAAATATCACATCACTCTGGGTGCAGAGAGTGGAAGAGAATTCTGTACTTTAAGCTATTTATAATACAGCCCTCTAATTAACAGAAAGCCAAAACCACTGTGACAGCCATTTTCTTCCATAGCAAAATTAAGTGGGAATCTTTTCACAATATTTAGTATACATGGGAGCTTATTCTCCTGATTACACCTCACCATCTCACAGTAACTGGATTTGGATAAATGGACAACAGTAAGTTACTCCCTTCCTGTGTTCAAAACAACTCCTCGAGTCCCTGCAGCTACCAACAGCTAAGATACCCTGGTGGCCTAATGGCTCATGAATACAATACATTCAGGATCTCTTCACAGAATTTATCTTCTTTCAGTTGTTTTACTTCATTAGCTGGAGAGTGTGAAATCTAAAACTAGCTTCAGAGAGGAAGAGATGAAAGGATGGGTAAGGCAAACATACTCCCACTTCAAAGGTACAAAAAATATCACAGCCAGAACTTTTTTCTGAGCACCATCAGATGATGAAAAGCAAAAACAAAAAAAGTCATCTGAAGGAGAATAAGCTATACTAATACAAGGGGACAGTGACATGTCTCTTTAGAAATATATTCTTATAAAGCAAAAGCAGACAAACTTGCTGTCCAAGAGTCACCCTTTCTCAGAGTTCATAAAAAGAGTTTAGGTTGACTTCAGCTTAGTTAAAGGAGGTCACATCTCAACAGCTGAACTGAGTAAGAGTAAAAAACAAGTAGTGTTTATATTCATAATAACTCACTACTTTTAAAATACAAAAACACATTCACGCCCACATGATGACAAAATACGTCAGCATTCTGTCCTTTCTACTCATGAAATATTAAAAGAGAACTTCAAGTACTGCATGCTTCAAAATTACTTTTTTGAAACAGTTTGAGTGTAGGTACTTACCTTATAGTCAGTCCTTCTGTTACAGTAACCAAGTCTGAGTAAAATTGCCATTGGCTCTCTGCTTGTAGTAGAGCAACTTATATTACATTATAATCTTTTCTATTTGGCTTGCATCTACCAGTACGAATTTTTATTGTATCCAGAAAGCTTGTCTGCAAGAACAAACAATATGTACACACACAAAAAAGAAGATTTATAAGAACATTTTTACTCCAGGCACATATTTTACACAGCTTTCCAAGCTAAGCCCTTAAGACACTACACCTCAGCTGAAATGTATGAAGTTGTAATTAAGCACCGACCCTGCAGATCATTTGCTTTGTCAAACATGTACCTCCACAGACCTCAAAGAGTTTCACATTAAATATATAATTATATTCTGGTGCAGTTAAGGAGAGAAAAACATACAAACAACTTTTGATACCTTCTTCCTCAAAATATTAGTTGATAAAAGCTTTGCAGCATTATTTTAAAGTTATTTCTGCATTTACTCCCAGAAAGAGAATTTTCTTTTAGAAGAGGAATAAACAATCTTACAAAGAAGTATGGTAAGTTTGTCTTTTTTCCATATATTTCACCAAGAATGAAAAAAAGGCAAGGATTTTGGCCTGTTTGGTTGTTTACATTCATTATTTTACTTGGGCAATTGCTCCGCATACAATTCTTAAGGCCCCAACCTTGCAAACTTTTATCTTTATAAAGAACCCAAAGTTAGAGGATGACCTAAAAATGACAGTTTACTACCACAAGTAAATTCAGCTATGGCATCAGCACACTTACTGTCACAGTTACCATACAACCACCTCCTATGTATATAAATGAAGAAATAAAATTAAAAAATAATATTCACATAACATTAACACGCAAACAAGATGCAAGAAGAATATGCTTGGTGTGGCTTCCAGATAAGATAAACCACATTTATTTATTAAGGCACACAAGTTAGGAGTTTTCTCTGAAGCACTTCAGAAATGCTTGCATGAAAAGCAGCAGCTATAAAGTGCTTTAAAAGCTTCACTAGGTTTTACTTTGCTTCATACCTGCCGCAGATATCCTATGAGGCACATACACTTTCCAAAAAGCCGCGGTATCCACAATGTGAGCCCTCACCGGCCTCTGTGTAACTAAAGCGCTCCGGCACTCCAGCAGCTCGTCAGCTCCGCTCCGCTCTCCGGCACTGCTGCCGCGGGGAAGGACAAGCAGGAAAGGTGCAGATGGGCCAGCCGACCCCTTCCTCTGCTCGAGCCCCTCCCTGCGGCAGCGGCGCCTTTTCTGCCCGCGCTGCCGGCCGTGCCCACGGGGGCCGGGCCGGGCCGGGCGGGGCCACCCCCAGAGCCGCGAACGCTCCGTGAGCTCGCCCGAAGTGCTGCCAGCTGGGAACCCCCAGAGCCAGCGCCCGGTGAAACGTGTTAGGGCTCCTGATTTCTCTGCAACCTCCAGACGCAGGAGGTCTGGGTAGTCCCGCTGATTTTGCAACTGCAGTCTTGCCCCATGGGCTTTAGTGGGAGATTGTCCTTGTCGAAGCTTGCAGAGCTCATTTGCGGTGCTATTCGTGAGACGAGAGGTGCTTCCATATACTGGCTTGCAAAATCAGGTTTTTCTTATCAAGAAAGCAAATAAATACTTGCTCTAACTGGGGCTTTGCTGGCAGAAACTGCAATTGCTTACACAGGCTTCTCTGACTTCTGCTTTGTTTTAATCAAAGTCCTCAGTTGCTCACAAAGTGGCACAAAAGACAATTACTTAATAAAAATCCAGCAGGAATTTTGCCCTTCAACAGCATAGAAATAGTGTTTCTGTTGACAAACCTCTTGACTGGAGGTCTATGGTAATTCAGTTACTTATTAGTAGTTCTGAGAAGTTCTAGTGACCTTAAAACTATTAATTTAGTAATATTTTCTAAAAAAGTCTATCTACTAAAATATAACAGATAGAAATGCTTCGCTAGTTTTCTCTTGTTTTCTCAGTTTCTATAAAAGCAGCATTAACCTTAGAGGTACCCTATAATAACTCATTATAAGACATATTTAATGTGAAATCTTACAAGATATATTTAATGGATTACTTTGCCTAATTGGATAAATGATTTGACTGTTATACTTGTATTATCTTGCTCATGGAAGTCACTGGGAAGCTGAGATCTCACTTAGTGTATGGCAGCTAAAGAAATACAACACATAAGAATTAGCTTAAAACTATATATATATATTTCCCCCTGGCTGGGAAAAAAATTAGTTCTGTCTACAACTGCCTTTATAAAGTTCCCTTATATGAAAAAGTTTGATAAACTTGTAGGCCTAAGAACATTGCTAAGTGCTTGTGTTTTTCTAACTAATTTATGCTAATTAAAAACAGCTTTCCTTGCAGATACATTATTAGTAGGAGAAATAATAACATAGATACATCTACAGTAAGAAAAGTGGTGACTAGAGGGACGGATATTCTTGACATTATTTAGTTTCGTAACTTTCACAGATTACAGTGGAATTAATATACAGATGTTTTTAAGATCTTATTTTAGGGTCTTGGCTCATTGACAGGATGGGCTGTATATGTCTAAAAAATTGTAATAAATATAAGTATGCATTGAAGTAATTTCCTCATTAAGACCCACAAGGATGAAAATGCAAGCTACAGTTATGTTAGAAATGGCAATCAGTTTAAGAAAAGAAATCATTTATCTGTGAAAGGTAAAGTGGGTAAGGGAGAGAATACTGTTTTGTTTCTCATTGTATAGCTTCTCATACTTCAGAAGGTATTAGTTAATGCCAAAGGGCTGTGAAGCAACAGAACCAGAAAAAAAAATTACTCTTTAACTACTGAGTACAAGTACCCATACTCCTTCTGCACAGGCAAACATCAGTGTGTCTGGAAGGGCTCTTTTCAAACATAGCAGTCTCCTTAAAAAAAACAAACAAACAAACAAAAAACAGTTCTACAGACTTAATGAAAATGTTTCTATGAAAGGGCACAGCTTGCTAATTTGTTAAGTGTCATATCCGATATGTATCAAGGAAATGAAATGTGTTAAGATACATGAACTATAAAAGTCTAGAGCTGCGTTTTCATTGAAAGTGTACTGCAATTGTGTGTTCATAATAATTCTGTATTTATTGCAAAGCAGAAGTGCCTAGCTTAACCAAATGAGTTAGAGACACAGAGAGCTGGGGGTTGGTTTTGCGTCTTGTTGTGAGCTTGAAGAGAGATAAAGATTGTAAACTACTATTGACCTATGTCAGAGGATGACGATGTCAAGAGACAAATCAACAACGCAACATCCACCATGAAAATAAGCTAATGAGTTTTTTTTTCTTCATAGTTTATTACAAAGCCTTAAGGAAGTAAGTGAAAACTTATAATTTTGAAAGCAATGGCAATTCATAAAGGAGACTTTATGCCAAATAGATAAAGGGGAATGTCTGTTGCCTGAGAACCGAGGAAACAAGTAAAATACATATAATATTGGAAATTAACTACTGGGCAGTGCAAGGTATATACCGATTACTATTTATTTTTTAAGCCCAAAACAATATGGAAAACAATAAGCCATTGAAGCTAGATCTGAAGAGAACTTGTGTTACTATGTGGTTCCTTGTAATCAACTTTCCACTCAGCTATTAAGTTAACTATACAGCAATTCTGTGGGATTTTACTGTGGGATTTTAGAAGGTCAGACCTTGGTCAAGTTTCATATATGTGTGCATTGTGCTCTATGTAACTGACAAAGGTATCACCATAAAACATCACTTGAGTTCAAATCATGTGATGTGCAAAAAGGCTCCACCCCTATGAGACTGTTTTGATGATGGATAGCGTGGATCTGAGCATTTTTTGTTACTAGTGTTATCCATTTTGAAATATTGACATATGTTTGAAAAAGAGCATTTGGGTTTTGCTGAATACATGCTGGATACTCGTCTTCCTCTGAAGATGCTGGCACCCGCATTTATTCATCTATCTTGTAAATCTTACACGTATGAGGCTAGATTTCAGCATATTTCAAGCTTTTCAGTATCATTTTCTTAGCTAAATATGTATTAGGAATTAATAACAATAACATTATCTTAGGAAGAATTCTTCCCGCCAAATCAGTTTGTATATGATGGGGGTTTTTTCCCTCCAAAGTGAGAGGAATGTTGAATCATTGAATCCTGACCACCTAAAAGGAAATAAATTACAATGAAGTCTCATTGTAGGATGAGATGTTTTCCCCCATAACTAATCAGTTCTTTTCCCTTCAGCTTTGGCATTGTTTTATACTTACCTGTTTTACCAACTGTCTTAAGCTACAAACCAGATAAATGTGTTCCCCTGATGTCCATGTATGCTTTTTTTTTGTTCTTATTCCTCTTGACTAATCAGCCCCTTCTACTTTTACTAATTTTGGGAGCTTTTTACGTCATGCATAAAAATTCAGACTTGGAAATGTATTTATACGAAAATACTTGTATACCGAGAGGTAAAACGTGTTTTACAGTTTTCAGTCAATGACTGTAACAAGCCACCTGGTGGCAGTAGCCACTCAGTAAAATAAGGTTTGCAGCCGGACTGCAGATACCTTCTTTCTTTCTGTATCTCTATTCTGACACAGTAACAGCTGTAGTACGCACACCATAGCTTTATACCAAAATATGTACCCACTTTGACTTAAATAGATTAAAACAAACAAACAAAAAACCAAAACTTCCTTGGTTATCTGAAATGAAATAATTAAGATTGGTTCCCTGATATCAATTTGAGCCAGGTCTACGTAGGTGTTCTAATAAAATGATGTCACTTTTCTGAGAGAGTCTCTAGTTAATTCAGTGCACAGCACAGTTGAATCAATGGATAAAGGACTGCAGTAAAATCATTTCACCCACTTCAAGGGATGTACATTATGAAGTTTTACCTAATAAAAGTACTGAATTGGTAACTTTATTAAGTTTTCTGTATTTTTTTACCCCTGCTGTGATGCTTTTTTAAATCATTAATTGTAATGTATTAGTGAGATGTGATAAGCTCCTGTTGTTCAGTTTTACAGGGAGCAAAGACCTTGCAGGCAAAAGCATTGACTTGCAAGTGCTTCAGTTTAAGGCACTTTAGACCTGCTTACAGAATTCATAATGTGACACTGAGATTAACTGAAGTCTTGTACAAGGCTCTTTCACACACTTATCAGTTTCTTTGCCAGCCAATCTCAATTCCACCTCTGCTCCACAGCTTTTTTCCTCTTCCCTTTCACTTGGACTAGGAACTGATTTTCCTACTCTTTTTCATCTCATCTCAGAGGTGCTTTCACAGACAACCCATTTCCAGTCTTTCAACTTTTCTCAGCAGCTCTTAATTTAGCTTCTAAAAGCATTCTTTGTTCAGACACGGTATATCTGTGGGTTTTGCAGTTGCTCCGAGTTCAAGCACAAGCAATGCTGCTGCAGGGATGATGCACAATGCTATTGGTTTAGCCACACGCTTGTTAGTACATGCCCAGTGTCCCTGTGGGGGAACCTTGTGGTGATGTTTGAGCACTCTTGGCATGAATGGCTGCAAGGATTTCAGCTCTTACTTCGGCACGTTTCACCTAAATGTTTGCAGAGACCTTCAAAAGCTAAAAAAACTGGTCAGACCATAACAGAGCTGGTAAAAGGCATGTCTGATGTAGGAGAGCAGTTAGAAGGTTAAGGGAAGAGTAGATTGTTTCATAGCAGTTTTCAAATCTTGTAAGCAGCAATCCTTGCTTGATGAGCACAGGGGAATATCATGCAAAGGTGTGAAGTGACCCAGTCCAGACACACTATGGAAAGCTGCCTCCTGCACAGTCGGGTTAGTACATAGTCACTATGCAAATCAGGACCTCCAAGGAAGTTCCAGATTCTGGGGGAACCTGCTGCACAGCACCTGCAGTGACTGAACAAATACGTCAGTGATGTTCTCAGAAGCAAATACCAAATTTGCACTATTGTACAGCCACTAATTCCTTCACCAACAAGAATCCAGCTGGAATGAAGAAGCAGTGGTTTGTGCAGAGGTAAGATACTCAAACTAGGCAGCAGCAACAGCTTGTCCCAAAGTACAGCAGTAATTCCTGTGTCAGTTTTATTTAACAGAAAAGTGCAATCAGTTATTTAACACTTGAGCTTAAAGGGCTGTCAAGGTGAGATTTAAGGATGATTATTATTTTAATGGACCAGGAAAATATTCATGGTAATCACAGCATATCTCACTAGTGCTGAACAGAACAATTCACAGGAAGACAAAAGTGCTCATGGTGGGTCAGCACCCTGGTATGGTATTTTCTCCTTCTGCAATAAAAATTGGCCCAGTGTACCTGAATTTATTTTACACTTAACTAAGTTAAGCCATACAAGAATACCATTCAGACACTTGGTTTTAAATTTTGTTTGCCAAGTCACTACAGTTGCAGATTATTTATATCAATTTATTGTGATGCTGTTAGCTAAAGAACAGTCAAACATATTTTAAGCAATTATGTAAAAAGCTACCTTTAACTATAACAACATTTTATATGGACCTCTGTAAAGATACATGCATTGAGTTTTACAATTTTTTATTAAAAATTAAACTCTATTAAAAATTAACTTTATACGGAAGTCAAAGCAAAGCATTGATTTTTTGAGGCCACACAGTAAGAGAATGGCCAAGCTGGAATTGAAAACAAACCAAAAACGTTTCTGCAATCCAAAAATTCATAACACCAGGTTAATCTTTGAAAGATCAAACCAACACTGCCAAGTAACTACAGGAAAGGCCACTAAGAGCGAACTGAATAGGTTAATGTCCTGGACTGTTCATCTTATTTGATTTCTTACTCATATAGACATTTTTATTCCAGCCTGCTATTTATTCACTGCCTATCCCACTATTGCAATCTGTTTAGCTATTTAGAAGAGATTTTTAAAAATAAGTTACAGGTTATTACTGCAATGTTCTCACCAATGTTTTCACTCAATACTAGATTCTAATGTCCAAGAACATATATAAATTCCTGCTGGGTACACAGTTGTCTAAGAACAGCAGTCATTTTCAGTCACTGCATAGCAAAGATCTAACTCTTAGAAAAGACTGCAGTTTAATCAAACTGCAGACATACAGTTTTAAAGAAAAGGAGTTTTCATTCCGGTTTGCATTTCTGGTTGATATCTCCCCATTAGAAAACAACAACTAGACAGAAGATTCAAAACCTCTTAAGCTTTCTATTGTTTGAACAATAACACAGTGTTAATTCATGAATTGACAGGGCATGAGTGTAGAGCGTTGAGAAAAATGTGCTATCACTTTAAATTTTAAAAAGTCTCGTATCTCCTGTATACAGGCCAAAAGAATCTGCTTTTAATTTTAGTTAAAGGTCCAGTTATGTTCTCTCTGTGCTAGCTGGCTTTTATTATTGTTATTGGAAATCCTTTCTCTGTTATTAAAAATAAAAAATGAGTAACATCAAGTAAGTACTTTAAGTTCCCCCACTTCACAGTCATAACCTTTAAAACAGACGCAAACAATATGACATCAGTGATCTGACACCCACTGAAAAGCTCCCCATAGCGTGTTGACACCACTGCCAGGATAACTGTTCTTTAAAACTGTCTTTCAAAGCAGAAGACAGGAGGGAGGGAGCACTAGGAAGGTGTGTGTTGGAGCAAAGGAGCAAAGAATTATGGTATTAATAAACTTGAAAAAGCTGCAGAATTATTTCCTCATAATAACTTTGATATGATATGCACTCTTATTCTGAAGCAACTCTTGATCATTTCCTGCTGTGGTATATCATATCACACATTGAGAAACTGCAAACTGAAGATAAAATGGCACTGTGAAAACCACCCTTTAGATATCAGTGTAGAAAATGCCATGCACACTTGCTTTTGGCTGTATCTTAGACAAAATCTGCAATGCTGAATGGTAGCACTTGTGCACTGATGTTTTGGTGTGGTTCCCATATACAGAAAACCTGCTCAGTTTAGATCTGCTAAATTAACACAGACCCTGAGTCTGTAAGGAATGTGCCAGCATAAGAGGTGATGCTGATGCAGAAAGGATTAGAGCAGTCTGCTCTGCTTTCTTTCCTGCAGGATTTACGCTCTTGACATCTGGTTCAGCTACAGTCACAAATTATGGTCAAAATAACTGATTCAGGATTGATTTCCTAATGACTTTTGTCCAAGACACTTAAAACCCCTTTTTCATAAATTTGGATAGATTTCAAAACCTATCTCAATGCATAGCACAGAAGAGATGTGGCAGTGCAAACCGAGCAATTATGGGAGGGTGAGTTTCCTTACTGAGTAGGAAAATCAAAAGAGCCACATTTTAGACCTTAGTAGCAGTAGCCTGCATAAGACCCTTTTGTGTTTTTCTTGCTTTTCAAAAAGTATCCAGCATGCACTTTAGCATGCAATGGACTTTGCCACATAGGCATTATTTGCTCTCCCTCCCTTAAAGCTGTTCATTGTGTAAGCAGGTCATGAAATTCCTAAATCCCACCCCCTTTGCGGTACCTGACAGGACAACAGCAAGTCTGGAGGAAGGACCACTTGTGCAAGGCTCTGTGGCAGACCAACCTCAGAGTCACTTAAGGATACCAAAGCCTCCTGAGGACCCCAGCAAAAAGATGGTCCAGGTCTCTTTCAACTACCTCATTGGTTTTGTTCCTGCAACTCCCATACCTGTTGAAGCTTCTTATATTTTCCATTTCTGTGTTGTAACATCTTCTTTTTCTAGGACATATCCAATTCAGAGAAAACAGCCAGCATACCAGGAGAGCCAGGATTCCGTTAGGTGTAATTCTGTTCTGTATACAAACACAGGCCAGCAAACTGAGAAACAAATAAAGGTACTAGGAAAGACATGGACAATGGGAGAATCCTAGGCCCCAGGAAATATCCATGAAAAGTATCTCAGATTAGAAGTATCACATTTGAATCATATCTAAATGAACCTCACTGAGGAGAATATTAAGGAACTGCACTCACAGGGGGGTTTTTACTGTGAATTTTTCCCCATTCTATCTAAGGTCCCTAATATTGTCAGGGACATACAGGTTGACATATTCACCTACACCAACAAGAAAATCTCTCTCAGCAATACCAAAAAATGTGAACTGCATTGACAATCAGTCAGATTTTTTACACTGTTCACAGGGAGAAGCAGGTGAAGGAAAAAATAAAGAAAAAAAGCTACCAAAAGATATAAAAACTCCATTTGAAATGGAGAGCAGTGTTTCCATGAATATTGAGGCCTTTGGACTGTCTCTAAATGCATTGTAATTGGATGAACACAATGTGGTAAAACACAGTTATGAGGTATGCATGGGGCGACTGGAAGCAAATGGTTTAAACCTAAATTGTTTTGAAGACTGCTTCCAGTTCCACGAAATATACAACCTTTAAGAAGAAAAAAAAAATAAACCAACAAACAGCTTAGTATAACACAGTGACTGTAATCTGAGAAGCACTTTTTTTTAAAAATGTATTTCTAGGCAATAAAAATAGACTGACCTTCCAAAGATGCAAGGCTGACCTTTACACTGGGGTGCAGTTAGTGACTTCGGCGGTGAGAGGCCTGAAGCGACTGTCCCAGGTGTTCTGCAATAAAAAGCAATGGTAATGGTTTATACAGTGTGCTGCAAAGCAAGGGATGGGGGGGATGTTTTGGTGTTGGGTTTTTTTTATAAAACCACGCTACCTCTTGGTCAAAGACAGATCCACGGAGTTGGTAGTCTTGTCCACACACTATATTTAGCACTTAAACCCTGGCTGACATCATGTTTTTCCTGCGGCACAGCCTATCAGCACGGAGCCGTCCGCCCGGCGCGGGCGCCGGCTCTGGGGCGGGAGCGCTGAGGAGCCCGGCGGTCACGGCGAGGAGCGGCTGGGCCCGCAGGCGTCAAGCGGGACACTCCAAGCAGCCTTTAGAGCCACCGTGCCCTCAGCGAAGCGCCCGGTCAGTCACACAGAGCTCCGGCCGCAGGTGCTCTGGCCCCTGAGGGCATCTCCCGTGTCTGCGCGCCCCAGCCGGGTGTGAAGGCGCTGGCGGGGCGGTGGCTGCGCAGGCTGGGACGGGACACAGGTACCACCGTGTCGCGCTGCCGGGAGCCCCGCGGTGCTCCAGGGCACAGACTCGCGGAGAGCTCAGCCCGCTCCCTGCAGCAACAGCGCGGGACACGGGGGTGGCCCCTGAGGGAATCCCTCAGGGTGGCCCTGGGGTACCCCTGTGGTACCCCCTGCCTGCAGGGCGCGCTCCCCGGGAGGGGCTGGCAGGGCGGGGCCACCAGGACAGGGGCGGGGCCAGTCCGGAGGGGCGGGATCTAACTGGGCGGGGCCGAGTGTGGAGGGGCGGGGCCCGTTGCGGCGGGGCCGGGCCTGCCCGGGGGGCGGGGCGGAGGGGCGGGGATCGGTCCGCCCAGGGGACGGGGCGTAGGGCGCGGGGGCGGAGCCTTGCCCGTCCGGGGGCGGGGCAGAGGGCGGAGGAGCGGGGCAGCCCCGCCAGGCCCGGCCAGGCTGTCCCGCAGCGCCGCCGGGGCGGGCCTTGGGCTCTCGCGGGAGCTGCGCCGGCGCCGCCCGTCCGCGAGCGCGGCGGCCGCGGAACCAATAAAGTTTGTTTCAAAAAAAGGCAAGAAAAGGGCAGGGAAGCAGCGGTGCTTCCGCAACTGCGGGCGAGCTCGTCACCGACCGCCCACCCGGCCAGCTCGGGGCGGCCACAGCGGGCGAGGGCGGACGCGCAGCTCCAGTCCCGGCTCCGGGGCTCCCCTCGGCCTCGGCAGCCGTCGCCCCGCGCGGGGAGCGGCGCCGCCGCCGCTGTGCGGGCCCGCTCGTGAGTATGGCGGGGCGGCTGCGGCGGGCAGCGCTCCCCGCGCGGGGCGGCGGGGCGGCCGTGCCGGGCCTGGCTGGGTCGCCGGCGGTGCCGGGGCGGAGAGTGACAGGTGTCAGGCTCCCCCTCCGCGGGGACACCCTGCCGCTTTGGCTGCGGGCCGGGCCGTGCTGTGGGACGGGAGTGCTCCGGGGTGCTGCCGGTCCCCGGCCGGGGCAGCGCTGGGCGCCGCCTGACAGCTCACTCCGTGCCCGGCCGCCCTCCGCCCAGCCCGCAGCGCCCGCGCTCCCCCGGCGCCGGGGAACATGTAAGCGCGGCCGGCGGCGTGAGGCGCTCCCGAGCGGCCGCGTCCTGCCGGGGGTCGCCGCTGACCTGCGGGGTTTTGTGTGTGTTTTCTCGTGGCAGGGCTCGCCTCCCCTTCCCCGCAGTGAGTGTCCCGGCGCGGGGGCAGCGCCGGACGGGCGGCCGCGACCATGCCGGGCGGTAAGGAGACACGGCTGCTGCACCTCAGCGAGATGGAGAAGCTGGACAAGACCCTCTTCAGGCTGGAGCAGGGTAGGTCGGGGCAGGGGGCCGAGTGAGAGGGAAATGGCCAGGACCTCGGCACCGTCTTTGGACGGCAGTGGAAAGTGGTAGTGGTTTTGGGGTATAGGGGTTTTGTTGCTGTTGGTTTGAGTTTGTCTGTGGTTTTGTTGGTTTGGTTTGGTTTGGTTTGACTTTTTCTATTGTTTTAATGTGAAACAATTTCTGAGACTCTTGCTTCCACTGCAAAGCTCTATGGGCTGCAGACACAGCTCGGTCTGATGCATAAAACTCTTGAGAAATGAAGAGCAGGTTGGCCTGGAGCCGTCAGTCTTAATGGGAGTGAAGTACAAAGCATTTTTATAGACAGGCCCTGTCCCTCTCCTTTTATAGCCTGTACTTCAGGGACCCGAAGAAGTCTCATAAGTCAAGATCTCCAGTGTTTATCTGCAATGTCTTATGCAGCATCCCATGTTTTAATATTATAATTCTGAAATCTGTCAGTATTACTAGTAGTTTGCCAAGTCTGAAAGTCTGAGGTAGTATTTCAGAACAGAAGGTCTTAGCTCCTCTTAAATCTCATTATCAGATTTCTTAGTGCTGCTGCATACTTCTAAAAACTTAACATTATTTCTCCTTGAAGTGTTCTTAAGTCTATTTGGAAAAAAAAAAAACAACAACAAAAAACCAAACCAAAACAGCTAAACAAATAAATAAAACCTCCTATTAATTGGTCGACTATTATGCCAGTCAGCAAATTCAGACTATAAGACTAAAACCACTGTTTTCAAAAAAACCTATTTTTTATGATGCAACAATTTTTATTATGAGTTTTGTGGGTTTTAGTACTATGTGTTACTGATCTAGTAACCTAATATCAAAGTGGTTTAGTAGAGGAGCAAGATTTTGATTCTTGATAATAAAAATTCTCTTCAACTATGTTGATTTCAACATTTTCAGTTCTGACATTTTCTTATATTAGACTGTAAGAAGAAGTGCAGAGTTGACCCTAACCTCCATTTTTAACTCTTCCGTCCAGCTGTGTAGATTTTCTTGAAAGGAGTGACACAGAAGTGCAGGGCTCTGAAACATTCAGAGTGCCTTTGCTGGTAGCAGTCTCCAAGAGGGCATAGCTAATTTTGAGCACAGCATTCCTGATGTCAGTATAACTGTTACAGGAAATAAGATATCAATGGCATATATCCCTGTCCTCTAATTTTAGTAATCCCTGTCACAAAATGTCAGGTCAGTACTGAAGAGAGTGTACTTAACATTCCAAAAGTGATTTTTTTTTTCCCTAATTTTTTTTTTTATTGCATTCAATTAAGCTTTATTTGATGTGCAAGACATTCATATCCAAAAACCATTGCTCTCTGCCTGGTGGGTTTTGGTGCTGTGGTGATTGTTAGTAAGAGAAATGCCAAGCTTGGTAAGACTTATATTTAAATGTGTTCAGACAGTGAATTCTGGTATTAGAGTCCCCATAATTCTGCTTAATAAGCAAGTGGCTTTTTTTTTGACTTACAGTACTGTAACTTGACATCCAGGTATTTTATACTTTAATGTCTGTGTGTAACTTTCTCTTTTTTTACAAATTCTCAGGTATCTTTTACTCCCTCTTTTGTAGACTGCTAGTGCTAGTAGGTATTTTACTACAGTTACCTATGTGACTGCCATGTAATTTAGAAAAGTCACTGTGGAAGAATTTATATCCATTTCTTTCACTTGAAAGAACCCTGTAATTAGCCACACACATGATGGTGGTCCAAATACCTGCAGGTGGAAACCTATTCTGAAACCTCTTGACTACCCTGATTTTTTTTTTAAAATTGAGCTCAACAGACTGCGTGTGGTTTTCGGTCCTAATTTTTTAACTTAATTTTTTCTCATTATCAAAGGGATCTTCAGCCTAAACTTAAGACTCTTTCTCTGTGTGTGTGTGGCCTGCACCATGTATACGAAACTCTCTCTGGTTTGTTGAGCTCTCTGGAAGTTTCAAAATTTGTATATTGTAAATTACACGCAGGTATATCTCATTTTGCATTTAAAAGCATAGGGAGTTTAGCATTGTTTAGTGAACCCTCAATGCATAATGAGGGGATTTGAAATATTTTGTTTTGAAATGTGTTCCTAATTTTTCTTGAGACATTTTCATGGGTCAGCCCATGATTTGGTAAACCTACTTGCCTAAAGACCACATAAAGGCTGCATAAAATTTCATGCAGTCTGATGATCACCATGTTTTGCTGTATTTTTTTTTTAAGACTTTTATAGAGCAAAGATAAATAGGAAAGGAGACAAACTGTGTCATATAAGTAAAGGAAAAAGGACTATATGTAAAGTATGCAAAGAACAGTGTTAGGAAGGTAGGGACAGATGATGCAGTTTTGGGTGCCACAATATAAGAAAGATTTAAAGCTATTATAGAGCATCCAAAGATGAGTGGTGGGGAGGCCGTGTGAGGAGCAGCTGAGGTCACTTGGTCTGTTCAGCCTGGAGAAGAGGAGACTGAGGGGAGACCTCAGTACAGTCTTCAGCTTCTTTAGGAGGGGAAGAGGAGGGGCAGGCACTGATCTCTTCTCTGTGGTGACCAGTGACAGGACCTCAGGGAATGGCCTGAAGTTGCCTCAGGGGATGTTTAGGCTGGATATTAAGAAAAGGTTCTTCACCCAGAGGGTTTTTGGTCACTGGAACAGGGAAGTTGTCACAGCACCAAACCTGACAGCGTTTAGGAGGTGTTTGGACAATTCTCTCAGGCACATGTTGTGCTTCCTGGGGCTGTCCTGTGCCAGGAATTGGATTTCAGTCATCCTTGTGAGTTCCTTCCAGCTTTGGATATTCTGTGATTCTATGCTGTAGAAATATATCATTCTGCTGAAATTCTTGTCAGATACGTGGGTGCTTTCTTATTAACATGATGTCAAAGTAGGAGTTATAATAACACACTAGAAATACTTAGTCATCCTGATAGTGATTTTCTTTTTTTTTTTTTTGAGGTTTTGAACTGCAGTTCCGACTGGGCCCAACTCTTCAAGGCAAGCCTGTTACTGTGTACACCAATTATCCAGCTCCTGGAGAAGTGTTTGATCGCCACAAGTTCAGGACATTATCATGGCACAATCCTGCAGGAAAGGAGGATGACTCTGACAAATACTGCAAGCTGGATCTCCAAATTTCCGGGTCATATCAGTACTATTTTACTCTTGGGTGAGTGAAATTCTTATATTTACAGCCAAATGCAGTCTGTTTCTACACTTTAACCCAAAGAAAACAATTTTTTTCCATGTATTTTTCAAATTGCAACCATTGGGCCAGTCAGAATCTGCTAATGAAAGACTGACTGGTGGTTATTTGATACCTTCTGATACAGAGATGTTTTGGAGAATATGCAGAACCAAGCTAATTTTCTGTGAATGCTGGAGAAGCAATCTATTTTTACAAGTTTTCAAATTCATCAGCATTATGAGCATATGAATGATTAATCTGTACTTTCTTCATTGGCTTTGAGGGTTGTTTTCTACCTTTCTAGCACAGAGGTTCTGGCATTCTTTACTTGCATCCTTTATGTCCTCCTTTGTTTCAGTGGGAGAACTGAAGAAGAGACAGTCAGTATCTGTAATAATTGTAGTCTGGTATTTGGAGCTTCTGAAAGATGAGTGATTAAAATCTTCCAGGCTTAGAAGGACATTTAGCTTGGGTATCTTCCTGAGGATGGTGCTCAAAATGGAGATATTTGTGTAATAGATGGGCAGTCAGGCTTTCTGTGTTTCTGTCCATATGCCAAAAGGAGGAACCTGTACTCTGTCTCAGCAAATAACAGAGGTACCTCACTTTTGCAGAGAGTTTAAAGCTCTGTATTGCAATTGCATTCTTTTAATTCCAGTAGAGAGATGATGCCCAAGCGATGAAGTTTCAATGTTTCCTATTTTCTTCAGGTGCCCTACAGTCCTGTTGCTCCTCCCCCCCCAAGTCACTGTACTGGGCTACTGTGTTTTGTAAATACCTACACTGCTTGGATTCTCTTTCTGGAACTGACACTGGGTATTAACTGTGCCAATGACAATTAATTTTTCCTAGAAAAGAAAAAAGCGGTGGAGGTTACATAGTTGTGGATCCTATTTTGCATGTTGGAGCTGATAATCATGTACTGCCTTTGGACTGTGTTACGCTCCAGACGTTCCTTGCTAAGTGTCTGGGACCATTTCACGAATGGGAAGATAGACTTAAAGTTGCAAAAGAAACAGGTAATGCCAATTCACCTACTGAAGGATAGAAGTTTTTGTCCTATGATCAAAAACCAAAGATACACTGAAGAGTGTGACTTTGTGAGTTTGTTCAGTGTGAGCAGATCATTGGTTCTTTTTAGACTAAATATTTTCTACTACATTCAATTTAGTTAAGAGATAAAGTCAGTGAAATGATTGAAATATTGGGAGAGGTTCAAAAATTCAGGAATTTCCTAATATGGGAAACCACTTCTGTTTTATTGTTTTGATTTCAGATAGACTTGGAAGTTTGTAGAACTGACAGGGTGATTTTTAAAGCTTGTGTTATACAGAATTTCAAGGAGAAAATTCAGATTAATTTACATTGGTTATCCCAAACACTAGCTCTAAGTCTGTGCTATAGCTACAGCTTATTAAGCTTCTCCCAATTAACTTTGTTGCTTTTTTTTCTCATTGAATAAATGACTTCTTATTACATAGGTTACAACATGATTCATTTCACGCCACTGCAGAAGCTTGGACTGTCTAGATCATGTTATTCACTGGCTGACCAGTTAGAAGTAAATCCTGAATTTTCAAGCCATAATAAAAAGTGCACTTGGAGCGATATAGGAGCTCTTGTGGAGAAATTGAAAAATGAATGGAATATGCTTTGCATCACAGATGTAGTCTACAATCATACTGGTATGATTTTTGTGTGTTAATAACCAGATTATTCCTATAACTATATTTAATTATTTCCCTTAACTTGTCCCTCTTGAATGCATTTTTAGTAGCTTTTTTAAGCAATGTAGTTCTCTACCTTTGAATTTCTCAAATCCAGAACAACTCCTTACAATTATAGTTGATACCTCTCTGCAACAGGTGTAAAAGAACATAGTATTCTTACTGAAGGAGTGAATAGAGTCCTTCTTAGAGAGGATTAATGAGCTGTGTATATGTCTGTATAATATGCTTATTTTCATAAACTGTGGTGTGCAGTTCCCACATGTAACAGAGTCTGCATTATGAATTATTTGGTGAACATAAACTGAGTACTTGTTAAACTGGATATTATGCTTGTAGCTGTTTAAAAGCTCTAATTTGAGTCTAACATGCAGATGGTAAACAGAGTTGGGACAAGAGGCTGGGATTAAGCAATAGAAGAAATGTTACAGCTCAGTCTGTGGGGAAAGAAAACAGTGAGCTTTGAGTTTGGAGCAGGGGTTTTTTAAGCATAGATACTCTAATACATCAAAGGTGTTACTTATTTGCTTGAGGGAGAGTGGGTTTTCTTCTGTGTTGTTATGCTGTAATCCTAAAGATCATAATAATTAGCATTCTCCTAGCAGAGTACAGCAAGTAGTTATGTATTCTGATGGCTTTCAAGGCTTAAAAGCCCCTAAATACAGATATATGTGAATTTCAAGCTTTAATTGCTTTGCTTCTTTGGTGTTGACTGCTGCCAAACATTCCGATCCAATCAGCCTGCAACGCAGTGTTGGCCTTGTTTGCCCTATCTGTTTGTTGAAAAGTTACTAAGTATAGTTTTGGCTATGTGTCTGAGGGGATTGAGGCTTTTAAACATCCTTCCACTTCTGGATAAAAAATATCTTGCACTAGGACCAACTAGAAGTCCAGTTTCTATTACATATGCTTGAGATCCTGTTTTTACAGTGTATGTTTGCGTGCTACCAAGGAGAAAGTTTTGGGGTTTTTATGGATAGAAATACCTAGCTCTAAAAATTAGACACCAGAATGTGTTTGAAAAGAAAAATGTCACATTATTTGGCTACATTTGTAGAAGGACTTTTTCAGGTTACATTCAGAGTTAGTCATCTCCATTGGGATGGATGACTCAACATTTGTGCTATGGTGAAAGGATACTGAGAAGTGTTTTCTAACAGGATAGAAATATTCAGATGATTGTGGTTCTGACTTACATCATTAAGCAAGATATAGTTGATGGCTTTGCTGCCTGCTTTTAAACTTGATTTTCCTCCATCCCCCCCCCTTTTGTTGTTTATAATCCAAACCTCTTGGTATACAACTGTCTACAAACTTTATTAAATGACAAATTTAGCGTTAGATAAAAGATACATTCATGTTATGTGCTTGTGGAGCTTTTTGGGTTTCTTTCTGAAGTAAGAAAATAGGGAAATCGTTTTTGGGGTTCCTTTTGTCTGGATCTTGGTTAGATGGAAATTTAACTTTTTTTTCCCTCTTAATTGAATAGTGATTTCCAGTAGTTGAGTTAATTAATTCCTGCAAGTTAGGATGATTTAATTGTAAAACATGTTTCATAGACCCATTTGAATATAAAAGGCAGAAGATGTATAGTCCATTATTTGAGCCGATTATGGATACTTGCACATCAGTATTAATTCTGCAGCGTGTCTGCATGAGAAGCTTAAGTTGTCTCACAGTAAATCCTCTAATGTTGTTAATTCAAACAGCTCATGACCCCTCAGCTTACACTGGTTCTATCTGTTGGTAGTTTCTGCTTTCTAATTGAGACAGTTGTATTCCCTCTGTTCCTGTGGGAGTCAGACAGCTCCCTTTCAGCAGCAAGCACTGAGGTGTTCTGTGTTCAAACGGGAGTGGAGACCTGGCTGCTTGCACAGTAGAGAACAGTGGGAATCAGTTTTTGTTGTTAACATCTCCTGTTAGGCTCTGATAAAAGCCACCATCCATGGCCTGGCTTTAAAAGTGAAGTCATGCCTTGATGTGTTAAATGTCAGTGTACCCTTGGCCTCTTGGCAGGAGTATCACAGATAAACTGGCAAAATCTCTCTGGGACTTGCGTAGATTCAAGTAAGAAATACATGTCAACTGGCATTTACTTTTCACTGGGAGATAGAAACAAGAGACTTCTTTTTTTTCCTTTTCTGAGCTTTCAGTGGCTGTAATAAATTGTATAAAGGAATAAAAATGCACTAAAATTTTATATTATTTATCTTTCACAAGAGAAAGATACTACTATTGTGTAATGGCAGTATAGTACTTGAGTAAATGTTGCTTTCAAGCACTTAACTGGTCACATCAAACAGCACCTTTTTCTCAGCTTTAAAAAGAATTAAAAAAAAAAAAGGTCTTGGGCCATAAGCACCACTACTAAATATTAAGTTTGTGTTTAATTTATGTAACAATGAGTTAGTAATTTAAAGAAGTAATTTCAGATTTTTCAAAGAAGAATGTAATGAATTTTAGTAAGTTTTCTATAATTTCTTGTCTTGGTATTTCCACATTCCTTACGACTTACTTTGTACTGTACGCACACACACACATATATTTTTATATATATATATATATGTACACACACACAAAAAGTCTGTGCTATACTTATTTTTTCCCTAGCTGTAACAAATGTAATCACCACTGATGTTTAGGGCAAATTTTTTCCTGCAGGGTTAGATTTTTTTTGGTGTTATGTTGTGAATTGCTGGAGCTGACCTTCTGGTCAGGAAACATGGTTCTGTTCTGTACCAGAATTAATGGAAGGCTTGCTGACTTTTTTTTTATGTTAATCCTTTAGATTTTAATTATACATTGTCTTTTTAGAATTAATTGTATTTACTCATGAAAGTCACTTATAGTAAATCATAGTTCTCTATAGGTGAACTGAACAAGTTGTTTATTTCACCCTCGAACAGCATTTATCAGCCTAAGCTTATTATTATTTTATGTAACTTTAAAACATAGTGGGTTAAACATAAACCTTATAAACATGGAATTTTGCCATGTGCATAACTGTCTTGAGATATAATGTTAAAGGGCATTCAGAAGAGCTGTTCACACTAGAGACTGAGTTAGGACATCTTTTCTTTCCCTTTGACATTTTTGTTTTAACTTCTTTCAACTAAGCAAACTTGAATTTTAGGTGCTATTTGTTTTGCTATAGTTCTGGACACGTTAATAACTCTTCACGCTTCCAATACATGTTTCCAATACAATAATTTATTATATATTTTCCCATGCAAGAAGTACTACTTTTGTTTTTCCCTGATTTTGTGAAAACCTGTTCTTAGGCATTCTTTGGGGTTTGCTTCTCTTTTAGTTTTTGAACTGCAAATATTTATTCAGAAGAGTATAACCCAAACCATTCTATGATTCTGTGAAGTTTCAGTTAGTGTTTAGGACAGCTTCAAAAGTGAAATTAACTCTTGGGTTTTTCTTCATTGTCATGGTGGTACTATTGCATATTTTTAAGTAACTTACAAAAAGTTTCCCTGCAGTTTCTGCAACTGTATTTGTTGCATTAAAAGTGGCAATCAGTAGTAAATACCTCTGCATAAAACATGGCTTTCTGTTGACATGGAAGACTTAGCTGAAATGTGCGTGAACTATATGTGCCACAGTACCTTAGCTTCTTGGTATGAAGATGTTTACAAAAGACAATGAAGTGTTCAGCTTCTGTACTTATGTTTTTGTTTGAGTTTTTATTCACCCCCCCTTTTTTCTTTCTTTAATAAGCTACTAACAGTGAATGGCTCAGGATGCATCCAGAATGTGGCTATAACCTTGTAAATTCTCCTCACCTGAAGCCAGCCTGGGTATTGGATAGAGCTCTGTGGCACTTGAGCTGTATGGTGGCTGATGGGAAGTGTATTGCCAAAGGGGTCCCTCCCTTGATTGAAAGTGATCAACACCTGACTGTAAGTGAAAGAGAACTAATTTTAAGCTAATGAACAGCATAAATAGCTGATGAAACCTTTCAATATTTCTAAGTTTGTATAAATGCATAAAAAATGGTATATACTTTGCAGATATCTGTAGTGAAGTAATCCTTTACACTCTGATTTTTTTTTTCTAAGCAACTTTTTGTGAGTGCTTAGCTTTTTTAAAATATATTAATAAGCAACATTATTAACTAACATAATTTCTGTTTTTACAGTGTTTACGTAAAATAATTTGGGAAGATATATATCCAAAAATTAGACTATGGGAGTTTTTCCAAGTGGATGTTAACAAAGCTGTGCAGCAATTTAAAACCCTTCTAACTCAAGGTAAGGAAAGAGTGTGTTGCTGAAGCATGTAAGTTAAATATTTATAGTTCAAGAGACAGTAAAATGGAAAACAAAATAATGCCATTTTTTGCTATGTCAGACATCTGGTGTGCCGACTTAAGCATCATGCAAGAGTGCTTTGAGGGCTAGGAAAGGCTCTTAATACTTTGTACCACTTCATTGCCTTTATCCACCCTTATCTTTGCTGATACTAGAATTGTAAAAGTTCTATGCCCTTTGAATGCAATTCCTATTTTTCTTTTGAGCACTCTTTCCTTTCTTGTTCCTAGGCAAAATGAGCACTAAATCTGATCCAAATCAACATCTTCAAATACTTCAGGACCCTGATTATAGGCGACTTGGCTGTACTGTAGACATGAATATAGCATTGGCCACATTCATACCACACAGGTATTATATTATTGATTGCAAGTTAAAGTCACAAGTGAAGTTAAATTTGTGAAGCCAAATAACATTATTTTCAGAGATGAGGAAAAAATTGAATTTTTTATTCCTTTTATTTATATATACTGCATGTTGTTAAAATAACCTTTTCTAATTGTTCTCTTCCTTTATCGTCCTCCTGATAAGCAATGGACCAGCTGCAATAGACGAATGTTGTAACTGGTTTCGCAAAAGGATTGAGGAACTAAATGCTGAGCAATACAAGCAAACTACTCACCATCAAGAACAGGTGTTATAATTACTGTGTTTTAATGCTGAATTGTTTCAGATTGCAAACAAATGCAAGCATTTCAATAATGCATTATTTAATTACTTCTAGGCTGTCAATTGTCTTGTGGGGACTGTGGTTTATGAACGAATGGCTTGTAATGGTCCTAAGCTGGGTCTTATCAGTAGAAAAAATCCCTTAGTTACCAGGTATATACGTTTTTTTTTTTTTATTTGTTTGGAAACTGTTAGAATCTATCCAGGGAAAGCAAGTTCAAAGTTTGTTAAAAGTAAACAATAATATGTATAATGTACATTAATATGTATAATAAGTGCATTTTTCAAATGCCACTTAATGAATTGACAGGGTTTTTTAGGCAACAGTGATAACTGTTTAATAAATAAATGTGACCGGAAAGCATGAGACACTACTCAGAGCACATCAAAGCCTTACATAGTGCAAATTGCTGTTGTATGTGGAAGAGGGGTGGAACTAAGGAAGTTTACACCTTTCAAGTTTGATGTACTTGATGCCAGTCATTTATCTGAAGAGTTAGGGCTTTAATGTTATACTACCAACTGACACTAAGATAGTGGCAGCATCTGTCCTTTGTCCTTCAAAGCTTGCTAAAAAATAGAAAACTCCCCATCATTTATACAAACTGCTTTTTTAAACTCTGTATTATGTACAGTCCAGTTCCTAGTTTCAAAGACAATGAATTGCAGCTTAGGTTACTGTATGTGTTTGGTGTTTGTCTTTTTTTCTCCCTCTATTAATTGTCTGTCTATTCCATAGGTATTTTACGTATCCATTCAAAGAGCTGACTGTGGAGGAAGAAGAAACTATGATAAATGAGCCAGATAAAGCTTGTTATTTCATGGCTCATAATGGCTGGGTTATGGGAGATGATCCTCTTAGAAACTTTGCTGAACCAGGTTTGCAAAAGAACTTTGAGTTTACTTACAAACCATTTGATATTCTAGCCGAAGCAAAAAGGATTTTATTTAATTATTTTTTTTCAGATGTATTCCTATGAAGCTGCAGAATAGCAGATACTAAGCTTATAGCACTTAAATTTCCCATTCAGCATACAGATCAACTGTAAGAACTGGAATTTGAGGTACAATTTTACAAGATTTGAGAGGGAAATCACCAGCTTTTTGCCACTGAAATGGGGACGTCCTGCCTCCCCACTTTTGTCATTGTCTTTGTTGCTTACTTTGTACTTTGTTCCAACACCAGTGCTTGTTGGCATTTCCATGAGACAATGACAGTGTGGCAGAAAACTAGTGCAATGAAAAGGTGAATAGTATTTTACTGCATTAGTGAGCAAAAACTGGATCCTTGAAAAGTCCACCGAGTGGTAGTCAGACAGTCAAGAGATGACCCAGTTAATGCAAATTAAATATGCAGATTACTTGTGAGGGTAAAATAGGGTATGAAATCACCATGCACTAAAACATTGAAATCTAACTCCTTTGGGGACAGTGTTGATATGCAATGAAAGCAAAAAAAGCTTGTGTTCAGGCTAGTCATTCACTTTCTAAACTAAATCAAACAAAGGCCAGTTTAATTCTAATTTAAAACAATCTAAGAGTTTGCAGCTCTTTTAGAAGCTAATCTGGTGATATTCCAGAGTGGTCCAGACTTAGCAAACATTTAATTTCTGCATTGCAATCTACAGCCCTTTCACTGCATTTTATTTATTCTCCTTCTCAAGGATGAAGATAATATGCATTTCAACGGTGTTTTTGTTCAGTTGCCTTTCAGCTTATTGCCCTTTTTTCTAGGCAGACTGTTGTATTTTTTTCTTTCAGTCACTGGCTTTAGTTAGTGTACTTAATTTGCATTACTGAGGTTTCTCTCTTAATTCATCTACAGCTTTTTGACTACTTTGTACTTGTGTTGTGCCTTTGTTTTATGCCACACATTATTTCTAATGAGAACACAGCGTGAAAATATGGTACATAAGGGCACAGATAAAGGAATTGCAAAACAAATGCAGCCAGTTCTCTAAATGGTCCTTTAAAAATCACAGTGTACATCCAAAGAAAGCCAGTTTTTCTGTCCACGTGGCTATGCTGCTGTTAGTGAAGAAGAAGGTCAGCTATGCTTAAGTGAATGTTTTTGGAAGTAGTGGTAATTTACAGTCCCTACTTTTTACTTACTAGCTTTGGAAATTCATCACAATCTGCTGCTAACAGGAGATAAAATTGTAAATCATGGCTGTAACAGTTTATGGTGACAGTGAGATGCTTTTTTGAATTTGACCAGTATAAACAACCAAACTACTGATTTTGTTCATTTGTTTGCTTCCTTTTTTCTTTTTTTGAAATAGTTTTTATACTACTTTGAAAGATTAAAAGGAACTTGTTTTTAATCTGGAGAATTGTTTTAGTATCACTATGGAAACAGTCATCCCCTTGGAGGAGTCTGAAATTATACCATATATCTTTGTAGGGTATATAAATTTTGAGTTTATATGGTTATTGTTAAAATTTTTACTCTTCATTACAGTGTTGTTCTACTCCTTAGCAGTAGAAAATAAAACTCCACATTTTGATTTTGGTGCACATTCTATACTATATTTACACTAAAGTGAATTTATTTCCCTCATAGGCTCAAATGTTTACTTGAGGAGAGAGCTCATTTGTTGGGGGGACAGTGTGAAACTGCGTTATGGTAATAAACCTGAAGACTGCCCATACCTCTGGGAACATATGAAAAAATACACTGAAATCACTGCCAAGTATTTCCATGGTGTTCGTCTTGACAACTGTCACTCAACACCTATTCATGTAGCTGAGGTACGGAAAATTAGGTGTGTTTATTATAAAGCAGCTGCTCTCTGTGAAATAGGTCCTGCAGTGTTGCTACAAAATCTGCAGGATCTACATGGCAGAGTCTGGGTGTAAATGAATCTTCCTCATAGCATAAAAGCAAGGTTTCTTTTCTGGTGATGTTTAAATCAGTGGTTTCAGCTACTTTAAACAAGTAGTGGAGTGGTGTAGCTGTTTTATCTTTTAATTCTCTACTTTAGCTGAACTATTGTGGATGTGGTTGGGTCTGGCTATCTTTTCCTTCACTTATCTTTGGACTTAGAGCAATGACTTTCAGTATCCAGAATGTCAGTTTTAGGTGGAGTCATTGCCAAGACTTGGTTGAAAGTCTGGGTTATTTTTTTCCTATATATATTTCTCTATTGCTGAATTAAACAGGAAGCTATTCACTTCCCAGAATTTAAAAGTTGATAAAGAACTCTTGAAAAAAATTTAGTCTGGCAGGTATATTTTTAAGACTAGTGCTTATTGTTTTCCATGGAGCTGACTACATTGAGAAATTGTACTTGCCTAGTAAATTTGCTTTAAATAGGTATTGAGTAGTGCAGCTTGTTAGTGCTTAGTCTTAGCTTTGTTACAGAGCTTATCTAAATCTATGAAGAGCTCTCTAAAACAAGTTGATTTCCCCGTACAGAAGTTGCAAGTGGCTTTTAAATGCAGCCATTTCAAAACTTCTGCCATTCTTTCATTTGCTGTTACTATTTTTTGAATGGTAACTGCGAAGACTTAAACTGAAATCTTGCTCCGATTTCTTACTTCAAGAGATATCTCTTTTATCCAACCTTTGCTTTTGAATTTTGAGCTAAGATTTTGTTTAAAAAGAAAGTTTTAATTAGCTTAAAGTCTACAGAACATTTCCTAGAGTTACTCAGTCCATCAGTAATATCTGTAAAATATAAACATATTTTTATAAAACTTACATGTTATGAGTATTTTTGACGTACTGCCTATATGAGTGACTCATTTATATTTGGTTAACGTTCATATTAATGATTTTATACACATAGCTGACAATGGATGTCTTGCATTAAAAATGTATTATGATCTATAGGAGATGCTAGCAACAGCCAGATCAGTCAGACCTAATCTTTATGTGATAGCTGAACTCTTCACGGGCAGTGAGTACATTGACAATGTTTTTGTCAACCGCCTGGGAATTACCAGCCTGATTAGAGGTACAATAAGCAGTTGAAAATTATGTAGGATTGTCATGTATGGTTTGGAGTTTTAACTGTGAAACTAACATTGGTATGCTTTTTTGTTTTTCTTACATATCCGTGTTCTTTGCTTCCGCGATTACCTTTTCTTCATGCCTTGTTTATCGTCTCATGTGTCGTGTGCTGATTCTTGGTTTTGCTAATGTTTGTCTGTCCTTTTCCGTGTAACAACTTGTTTTGTTCCTTAATTTTGGCTTTCTGTTTATCTTTGCTGCATGGCATTTTCCTATTGTCCAATCCCTGCCTAGCTTTGAAACTTGTCCTTTTTTGTATCTACCTTTCCCCTTTCTGTGGCTTTTTTGGCTGTGCTTTTTGCAGTACATGCTGGACACAGCTAGAAAATTGCGAGCCGATTTGTATGTAGTGGCTGAACTGTTCACAGGAAATGAGGAGCTGGACAATATCTTTGTGAATAGGCTGGGCATTACCTCCTTAATAAGAGGTAGGCTTGCTGCGTGTGTGGTCTCTTTCCAACGAGAGATTATAGATGGCGTGCTTTTCCCAAGAAAAAGTTTTCTACTGGATTATGCACTTTTAATTTCATACTCCATGTAATCGGAAGTACAGGTTTTGTATTGTAACTCTTTTGATACTCAGCAGAAAATATGATACTAGCTGTAAAATAAGAGAAGACCTTAATTAGATTACAGAAGGTTAAATATTTCACTCTTACTCTAGCGAGAGAAAAAGAAGTTGTAGCACAGTTCTGCTATGTAAGTGCTGCATCATGTCTGATTTTTGTTGCATGAGCTTTTTAAAGCCTATGAGAAACAATTTGATCTCTGCTTTTTTGTCCTTTTTCCCCTTTCTCTTCCTTAATATATTATAGTCAGTGAAATACTCCAAGGCTGTGTGTCTGCACTGGAGAATATAATTATGTGTGATTTTATTGTTTGGGGTTTTTTTCTAACGATTGAACACACCAAAATAACAACTTTGAAACGCTGCATTAACATCTTTGTGTGTGCTGTTCTCTGTGGTAGCTCTTCTTAGGCAAACACTTACGTGTTTTGTTCTTTAGAGGCAATGACTGCTTACAATAGCCATGAAGAGGGAAGGTTAGTTTATCGGTTTGGAGGTGAACCTGTCGGCTCTTTCGTTCAGCCACGTTTGAGGCCTTTGATGCCAGCTATTGCTCATGCACTGTTCATGGATATTACACATGATAATGAATGTCCAATTCAGGTGAGCACCGAAACCAAAAAACAAAACTAAGCACCTAAACTTCTGTTTACAGGAGAGAATGAGAGAGAGCAGTGGGCATTGAAGTGCTTATTTTGATGGTTTTTCTTAAGTTGGTTTGCTTAGTCCATTTGCAGTAATTTTCTTCAATGATTCTGTTGTAATTGAGGAAATAATGATCATGGGATTAGCGCTTCCTCTGTTAAATTAAGTGTATCTTCTGTATGCTGAATTGGTAGGGTTGAATCAGCTTTGTTCCACTATTTATTACCTATATATCTCTTAATGCAGCACCGATCTGCCTATGATGCTCTTCCAAGTGCAATGATTGTTTCCATGGCATGCTGTGCTACAGGAAGCACCAAAGGCTATGATGAACTAGTGCCACACCAGGTATGTGTCTACAGTTCAACTACTAAGTTGCTTTGCAAAATGTAACCTTTTTCTTGTCCTCTAACACATATTTTAAAGTTGTTTATTTGAAATTTCAGCAGTTTACTAGATAGCGTTACTTTAGGTTGTTTAGTTTCATATGGAATTTGAATTTATTATTTATTTCAGACCTCAGGGCATGATAGTTTGAGTTTTTTTCCCCAGAGTAATTCATATTTGCTTAAATCTTAATTTCTTTACAGATCTCTGTAGTATCTGAAGAGAGGTTTTATGCAAAATGGAATCCAGCAGCACATCTGACTTCTGGCGAAGTTAATTTCCAAACAGGAATTCTGGCAGGAAGGCTGGCCATAAACAGGCTGCATCAGGAGCTGGGGGCTAAAGGCTTTAATCAGGCAAGAAGTGAGGGTGACACTGATTTCTTCACGTATATGCTCTGAGTGAGCACAGTTGTAATGTGATGTCTTTTGCAGGTGTATGTAGATCAAGTCGATGAAGATATCGTTGCAGTGACAAGACACTGCCCTACCACACACCAGTCCGTTGTGGCTGTGTGTCGAACGGCCTTCAGGGACCCTAAAACTTCCTTCTACAGTAATGAAGTACCTGAAATGTGTATCCCAGGTAATCAGTTTGCTTTGTCAGGTGTAAAAACATTTAGGTTATTCTAATTCCATGCTTTTTCACTTGATGCACATGCAATCCATGTGAGAGTTTTCAGTGTATAACACTCCTTTTGTATGTCCTAATACGTAGGCACCTAAGTGGTGAAAGAAACTGCAAACTTGCCTTCCTTAGGGTTTTTACAAACATTCATATTTGAGTATACTTCCTGCTGCAAGCTCCTCATGAGGTTGTGTTGTTGCTTATAGTCTTGTTTGGGAACTAGTAATAGTTAACTATTACTAGTTCCCAAAATAATATAATACAATATAATAGTTAACTAATAGCAAGATGGTTAATTTTACAGATTTGGGGGGATTACTGTTTATTAAGTGTGTTTTACTGGGGAAAAAGGCTAAAATTTTATTATATTTGTTTATATCATTGCTATTCAGCTTTTTTATATATAACTATTTTGTAGTTTTAAAGTACATCTTAACTGTAGTGCATAAATTAATATAAAGAAAATATATATGCAGTACATATATAATCTAAAGGATAATAGGGAAACTAAGAAAACTGGTGACCAGTAAAAAACAGCTTGTAATTCACTAATTGTTGTCTGATTATTATGGTTAATTTATTATAAAATAACAAAAATCACCATTTTAAGTACAACACAGCATATGAGCATGTAGTGAATGTTTATAAGATACAAAATACACTTTATAAGACATAAAATACACTTCCCCATATGTTTCTGTTCTTTTGCTGTGTGACAGAGACCTGTATCTTGAATATTTAGGTTTTTTAGTTTTAGGTTTTGCTTCATAATTTCAAAGGAATCACTATTCTTTTGAAGTATCTTAAGAACTGCGACATGATTTAACTTTTTTCAGGGAAAATTGAAGAAGTAGTACTTGAGGCTAGGACTATTGAGAGAAGTGCTAGTCCTTACAAAAAAGATCTACATTTTATAAATGGATTGCCTAATTTCACGATGGAACTCAGAGAGCATATCCAGGTAATTAGCCTCCTTCACCCACATTCTGATGTAATATTTTGTTATTTGTTACATTAGAAAAAGACACTGAATTTCAGTTACAAATTTGTTTTCTTTTCTAAGATAAAAGACAGTAAAATCATAAAGCAAGCTGGAACTGCCATAAAAGGGCCAAATGAATTTGTTCAAGAAATAGAATTTGAAAAATTAACACCGGGAAGTATAATAGTATTCAGGTACGTTATTGTCATTGCCAAAGGGCTGTGTTACTTGAGAGAGAGGAGACTTGAGAATAGTTATTTTAAGTGCTATATTTCTACAAGATGTGCTTTCATATTTACAGAGTCAGCCTTGACCCAAAGGCACAGGAGGCTGTTGGAATCCTCCGCAACCATTTGATCCAGTTCAGCCCTCATTTTAAATCTGGAAGTCTTCCTGATGATCATTCAGCACCGATTTTAAAAACCCTGTTTTCTTCGTGAGTATTCTTTGAGTTCCTGAAGTAGAACCGAGGGAGATACAATGGTAGCAGAGAATATTATGTAAACTTAAAGCGAGGGGTTGTTGGGGTTTTTTGTGGTTGTTGGTACAGATGGATTTCCATTGTCGGAGTGCAATAAACACTGAGATAGTCTTCTTTTATGTATAATACTAAGTAAGGTTAATACAAAAAACTTCCCAGTTCTGTGTAATCGCTGCCTAAAGTAAACTTTCTAATATAGACTGCTTCTCACTGTTGGGGTGTGATTGACTGAGTTTTGTACTTAATACTGTGTTTCTAAATAAATACTGAAACCTCTGAGAAGAACGTCTCTGACCATCTGAAAACTCAAGCTCTTAATTTCGAAGATTAAATATTGTGAGAGTTGTATATATTTTAGTATTTTAATGTAGATCTAAAATTAGAATTGTCTGTGAAATTCTTTCCCCGTTTCCCTACTAATGTTCTTTTGGGTTTTATTCTTTTTTTTTTTTCTGCACTGTTTTTTCAGTATTGCGTCTAAACTGACATTGGCCGAGCTAAATCAGGTGCTGTATAGATGTGAGGCAGAAGAACAAGAAGATGGTGGAGGGTGTTACGATATACCAAACTGGTCGCCGCTGAAATATGCAGGCCTCCAAGGTAATAACTTCTGCATTTCAATTAAAAAAGTAAATTAGAGGTGCTCAATCTAGATGATACCGTAATGAGTGGCTGTTTTATTGCCACTGACATTGTTTGAATAAAAAACAGTAAGTTTTTTCTAGTTGACCATGCTACTAATCAGTGTTGTCCCCAGGAAATCACACACTGTAACAAACCCCCTCTCTCTCAATACTCTGAAACTTGACTTTACAGCCCAATATACGTTTTAACACCAATACCTTGGCTTTTAAAGTAAAAAGACAAGTATACCTCCAGTGAAAAGTTGCATAAATGAAACCCCAGGCATTACTGGATTACTGAGTTCTGTCATTTACCAAACATATGAATTCCATCATGCTAGTTATTCCACCTTCATTTACATAACTTGAGTGACCTCACTCCTTATGCTGATCAAAAAAAGTAATACAGTTAAATCCAGTTAAAGCATCTGTTGCTGTGTACCTTTCCCCCCGAATGGTAACTGCTGTTTGTGACAGGGGTGTGTCTTTTAATACAGAGTTGGTTTGTATCTTCAGGGTTAATGTCAGTGATGGCAGACATTAGACCAAAGAATGATTTGGGTCACCCATTTTGTGATAATTTAAGATCTGGGGACTGGATGATTGATTATGTCAGTAATCGTCTGATTTCACGTGCTGGAGCCTGTGCAGAAGTAAGTAAAAATACTTATTTGGTGACTTTGGAGTTTTAAATCGCTACTTTGTTTCATTTTCAACTATTGCTATATTTTTAAATTAAGACTGTGTATGACATATTTCTTGTCTAGGAAATTTCTTCTAGGTGATTAAACTATTTATGTTTTTCTTCTCTCCCCTCAATCCTATTTAAGAACAGACAAATGCAAAAGGGAAGTGAAAAATACGTAGAGTGTAGAGGGATTGTTAGCTCTTGCATAAGGGCTGGCAGGGGTCCCTCCATGATTATTGCTTTTCCTCAAATAAAAATGAAGTTACTTTTTAGGTTTGGTTTTTTGGTTTTTTTAAGCAAGTACTTTCAGAAGAGTGCCTAAGTACTTCTAAGGCATACATGAATATGATACTGTTATAGCTGTGTAATATTTTTACAGATATGGTCTTTATCTGCAAGGTTTAAATCTTTAGTGACTCTCCAGTAGATTGTCATGATGTTATTTAACAGGTCTAGAAGGAAAGAGAAATACTTTGCGAATGTCAAACATTTTGCAGCGACACAAGGATGTGAATCTCCACAATCCTGAGTCCCGGACCCAGACCTGCAGTCGTATTCACTAATGGCTGTACATAATATAACCTTCTGATAACTTTTCTATTCCTGATCTCAAACTTCATCTTTTCAGTCCTATCTTTTTAAACAATGAGAAACCTCCTTCCAGTGCTGGGGTTATAGTGATGCCTTTTGAGTTGTACCTTTTCTTTGCTACTCAATTTTAATAACAGTTTCGTGATAGTTCTTTTTTTCCTACAAGACTATCAAAATATAGTCACTTTCTATACTTGATATTTTGAACCATTTATATGTGATATTACAAATGCAATTTTTCCCTACTACTTTTCTTAGAGTTCATCTCTCTTAGCTGAAATTTTGGAGCAGGAGGACACAGCATAATTTGGGTGTAATACATGTACAAAAACTGTGACAAATACTGTAACTGTATGGATCATGAAAGCAATGGGTTTTGAGTCCTGATCTTACCAAGTTTTAATTGTATTGTGTTTTTACTAGGTTGGTAAATGGCTGAAGGCCATGTTTGTGTACCTAAAGAGAATTCCACGTTACCTCATCCCCTGTTACTTTGATGCCATATTAGTGGGTGCATACACAACCCTTCTGGACGTGGCATGGCATCAGATGTCTAGGTATGCTTGGCGTATCAGAGCTATAGAGGTATCTGTATATATTTGCATCTTCAAGTTTTGTCTGCTAGAGAATGTAATTTGAATATTTTCATACTTTTCCAATGTAAAAGGGTAAAATTGTTTAATCTTCAATGTCTGCTACTTTGTTTCTTGAAAAGGGGAGATTGATTTAATAGAGACTGTTTTCTAGCTGTAAACCTGCTGAACAAGTCAGTACTGTTTTGTGAAAATACGGATATTAAAATAGGAATAGAATTCGGTGTGGCTGTAAAATCATGGACCATAGTATATTTTATGAAAATGCTTGAAGATTAACTAGTCAGGAATGCAGATTGCATTATTTTAGACCATGTGTTAACAAATTTTTTGATTTGCAGTTTTTGTGTATATATATATATATATATATGAATATACATAAAAATACCATATCGAAAAAGACTGACTAGTTTGACAGACTTCTGTTCATAGTAAAATATTTTTATTGTATTTTTGGAGTCTTAAGTCTGTGTATAGGCATCAACTAAACCAAAACAATTTCCTTTTTGTAACCCTTTTTTTCAGGAATATTTGTCATAAAAACTCCCATTGAAAGTAATAAATTTTAAATCTGACATTGGGCACACATTTTGGGGAAATGAGTGATCTACAAATTAAATTATGTAAAAATTTTTAATGCAAAATACTAGTAATAATTTTTTTAGATTTTATATTATGCATGATACTTAACGTAGCTTTCTGTAAATGAAAAAAAGGAACATTTTTTAGACTGATGTAGTTGAATGTAAAATTAATTTAGTTATGTTGCATTACAGCTTTGTGCAAAATGGATCAACGTTTGTTAAACACCTTTCCTTGGGTTCAGTCCAGATGTGTGGAATAGGAAAATATTCTTGTCTGCCAAATCTATCTCCTTCCTTACATGATGTTCCCTATAGGCTCAATGAGATTACAAATGAGAAAGAACAGTGTTGTGTTTCCTTGGCAGCTGGTAAGTGAGAGCAACCTTTAAAAAAACAAATAAAGTCTTCCAAAATAGTTAAACTGATTTTAGTAACTCTGTTAAAATTTTCTGCAGTGCGTTTGGGATCCATATGTCAGCAACAATGTATGAAATATGGGTAGCAATTTCACTCACTTTTGCTTTGTGTGTAAGGTACAGATTTGCCCTTTTAAAAGTATGGGAGTTTTGGCTGGCAGTGCTTCTTGGGGACAACCATTTTGTTACTGCTGATGGGATCTGGGAGGGAGATCTTTATTTGCTGACACTGGATTTAGAGACATTTTTAGCTGTCTTTGTTATCATGTATAGAAATCCACAATATTGTTTTTCTTTACAGAAGACTTGCTTGAGTTGAATATACTTATCATGATGGGGTTTAGTTTATCTTTTCTAAATGTGAATTTAAGAACTTAACTATAATAGAATAATAAGAGTGAATTTATTGTTTACAAGTTCTCGGGAAAAGAACCATTAGCAAACCAGATCTCCTGATCTGAAACAGTCTCCCAAAGGAAAGAGAATAAAAGCGGTCAGCAAATAGTGTTTATACCTCCAAATGTTCTGCCAGCATCTGGCAATCTTCCTGTGCGCACTTTTCTGTGACCCAAGTATTATCTTCTGTGGTTTAGAATGAATTTATTTTTGTTCTGAGTTGGCCCATTCCTCTTCTGAAGCCATGGAAACTTCTAAACATCCACAGATGCAGTGGCATCTCTCTCACTGGAGTGAGTGCTGTCTGCCTTTCGTGTTGTTTTGTTGCTTTTAGTTTCTGGATTTTATTAACATTCCATTTGCCTGCTTTAGTGTTACCTAGAAGCACAGAGGCACAGTGTTCCCTTAAACTGGTCATAAAGATTAATTACACTAAGGGGGTTGGTTTTAAATATTCCCTTCACATATTCAGTGGTAGCTGTGCCTGAGATTTTTTATTTGTACATGGATTGCCATTCTCAAGTGCTGCTGCCATGTACTATAAAATTGCAGAGGTGTGGAGGCCATATTTGAGTATTAGCAAATACTTTATATCAGTAAGTGATAGAAGTGAAAATGTTGTTACATCAAGCATGCACAAGAGATTGCTAGTTTGAAACTTTCTGTTTGGGAGATCATAGAAGTTAATTAATGGAAGAAAAGGCAAGTATGGATCTTACTGTTGTAATTATTATGCCTTGTTATTTAGAATCATTCTTAAAGCTGTATGTTATAATGTCTGCAGTACAAGGTAATGCTATAAGCTGCTGGAAAAGAAAAACAGGATGTCTTTCATAGTAGCTGGGAACAATTGTATCCCCTTTATGCTACTGAGATGGCACAGTTCTCATACATAAACTCTTGCCAACAAAGTGTTACGTTATAATCTTGCCATAGTTCTAACAACTTTTTGTTAGTTTTCTTTCTGATTCTTTTAATTAAGGGATGGCACTTGGGTAAGTTACCAAGTGATGTAATACAAATTTAAATGTTACTGATACGAGAAATGCCATTGTGTGATCTTGAAATTCTAGAAGATATTGTTCTAGAATAAGGTGCATTTCATCCTGTAAAAACTTGGTCTTGAAGACTTTTTACTTTAAATATTTTATCTAGGATAAAATTATAAATGAGAATATATCTTCTACTTCTTCTTACTTTATACTTTCTTGTATGCTTGGCAATTTCTACTATATCAATACATTAGATAAAAAATGACATTTCTTTTCAGGTTTACCTCACTTTTCTTCTGGAATTTTTCGTTCTTGGGGAAGGGACACTTTTATTGCACTAAGAGGTCTCATGTTGGTTACCGGGCGCTATCTCGAAGCAAGGTAAGACTGACTTAGCCTTAGTCCTTATTGGCTCTGTTGGGAGTTAGGAAAAAGCAATGCTCTCAAAACCTGAGATGACACACAAGCTTTTAGAAACAGCTGATGTGCAGTGTAAAACTTTAATGGCACTAGATGTGTTTGGGAGCTCTCCCTAAGTGGAATTAAAAATACCACTAAAATGATTCTCTCTTTTTTTCTTAGTGCGGATACAAAGCTGATGTTCTGTATAGATTAAGATAGTTTTAACCCCTGTAACACTACTGTTTGTCCTTAAACAAAGTGATTGTTTCACATTTATTTGCATCGTTATTGCTGAGAAATAATTCCAGAATTTCTTATGTAAAAATTCGAAGTAGCAAGAGAATATTATTTTTATAAGAAAGGTGTGCTTGCCGGCATGATTTTTTTGTAACTGCTAGTATTTGTCTGTTAATACTAGAAATCAGCTAATTATGGATCGTTACAATCTGGTATCTGTAAATGTTTAACCTGACAAATAGCATACATAAACCAGATGGATTTGATATTTTGATTAATTTTAATGGGGGTGGAGCTTGACACATGACAGAAACATAAAAATTATTTGGTTTAAATTAGCATGTATTTATGCTGTTGTACATTCTACCAGCTATTAGCTTTCTCATGCAGTGAGATCTGCAGTCTAATAGTATGTTTACGTTTCTAAAGCTAGTTGGAATCCATGTTTTCTGCAAGGTGTGCGCAACGGTTCTCAAGTGAAACTTCTCATAACCTCAGCTGCTGTCACCTCTCTGTATTTTAATAGGAAATTCCCATCTACTCCTGCCCTCCGTCCCCATTCCACCCCACCCATCAGAATGGATACCAGGGTAATCATAAACAATATCAATAAAAACCTTCCCTGTGACCTCAGTGGGATCTGGATTTAGGGTCTATATCCCTAAAGCAAACTATCTCTTCTATATGAATAGATGTTGTATGTTTTGTACCAACTGATTTAAATGTATTCATGTTGAGGAATACGTAGGGAATGAGTGACTTCTTATTGCAAAAGAAGTTCATGCTAAATGAAGTAATTTGTAGCTTTCAACAGCAAACTTTTGGCATCTGCCTTAAAAATTCTCTGTCTTCTTGACCTACCTTGCTATTAAGGTAATGCTGTAATGCTTTGTGCTTAATACTTTGTCCAGTAATGGCCCTGAAAGCAACTTAGTGAAGACTGTGCTCTTTTTCTGTTCTAGAAACATCATTTTAGCATTTGGTGGGACTTTAAGACATGGCCTCATTCCCAATCTGCTTGGCGGGGGCACACATGCCAGATACAACTGTCGTGATGCTGTGTGGTGGTGGCTTCAGTGTATCCAGGACTACTGTAAAATTGCTCCAAATGGATTAGACATTCTCAGGTGTCCTGTCTCTAGGATGTACCCAAGAGATGACTCTTCACCTCAGCCTGCAGGCACTGTGGTAAAGATGATTTCTAATTTAAGTATTTAATACAACTATAATTTGTTAATGAAAGGATGTTATATTTTCTAGCTACAAGAATATGTGGCTGTTTTTTATGGTGAGGTTTGATTATAGCACAAGAATTCTGCATTTTAGACAGTTCTTGCTGCATCTGCATCACTGATTAGACAAGTGCAGGGGGTTGGGAAAGGAGAAAAAAATTCCAGCAGGTTCTAAATTGTTTTGTTGATTTTAGTCTTGGACAAATATTTATATGGAAAACTGTATACAGTATGTTGCCATAGCTAGGGAAGGATGCTGCTGGAAAATAGTGTTTTTATTTTGAAGGATCATAAACTAGAGGCTTAAGCATTGCTACTATTTGCACATTAGATAGAACCTTTCTACTTGTTTTTCATCTTGCCTTTCACATGTCATCCAAACATGCAACAAATCTAGGATCAGCCCCTCTATGAAGTAATACAGGAAGCAATGCAACGACATATGGAAGGCATAAATTTCCGGGAAAGGAATGCTGGTCCACAGATTGATCAAAACATGAGAGACGAAGGTAACATTCATAGAACTCTTACTGTACAATTCAGAAGTTGATGATCACATTTTATATTTTGTTTCCAGTAACCACTGAGCACATTTTTTTTAATTATGTTTACCGTAACTAAAACATATTACTTTAAATACACTTAATATTTTAGAAGTACCTAATGAATTGTTTATTATTGGCAACTGTTTACATGTTACGGTACAAGTTATGTGTTATGTTTTAAAATTTCACTTTAAGTCTACTTGGTCTTAGGAACCCACCTCAGATCTCTTGTTTGGAGGTTTTATTGTTTATTAAGGAGATTTGGGTTGGCAAGGGCAGTTGGCATTTTGTTTTGTCTAAAAAACAAACTTCACACCTGATATTCTTGCTTGGCAGGTTTTAATGTAACTGCAGGTATTGACCACGAAACTGGCTTTGTGTTTGGAGGGAACCGCTTCAATTGTGGCACTTGGATGGATAAAATGGGAGAGAGTGAAAAAGCTCGCAACAAAGGAATTCCGGCTACTCCAAGGTATGAACTCCAGGCTTTGGGGACCGGATTTTTTAATTACATTTTCAATTGACATTCTTCTGCAAAACTATTACTGTGCCTTCTATTAATACATCCAAGAGGTGGTATCTCAAATGTTATAAATGTTTCTACCTACTAAAATGTTAATGAAGTTTTTTTCTTTATGCTGATTTGAAGTTAAAAAGTCTGTTCTTGGCAGGTGAAACCCTCAGATTCTGTCAGAGTCTTAGCTCCATGCTGAGAGTTGGATTTTGAATTCACATAGTAAAATGTAATTTAGGAAAAATTGTACACTTGTAATAGTAGCAGTACTTTGTTATTTAGACTTACTATAGGAGATACACGTTGCTAATTGTGTTGTTTGAGTACTTCTTACTTTAAATTCAAAAATATCTTCAACACCTACATTTTTGGAGTTGAGATTTAAGCACTTTAAAAATAAGCTGTATTATGTGCTAGCAAACTGCTGCAGGCATCTTTGCTGGAATTTAATACAGTTACAGAAGTGCATGTGCAGATAAGAAGCTCTGTATTGAATGCAGTTTTAGCATCAGAGGACAAAGTTTTTTGGGGTTGATTCTTTTTTCATGTTTTTAATCACTCGTATAAAATTATCTTCAATCTGTGCTAATTAACTGTGTATGGTAATATGACTAAGTAAGACTGTTGTACAGAAAAAGTATCTGCCAGCCAGTTTACAATCAAGTTTGTTCCCAGACTGAGAAATAGGGTAACAGTAGGAAAATAGGAAAAAAGAAATTGTCTAAATAAGATGCTTTAAAAAATCTAAATTTTACTCAGCTACTCATTGAACTTCAATAGCCTTCCTAAAGTAATTATTGGGCTTTTTTATCACTACTATTTTAGAGATGGCTCTGCTGTGGAAATGGTTGGACTGTGCAAGTCAACTGTCCGCTGGTTGCTGGATTTATCTGGGAAAAACATATTTCCATTCCGTGGAGTCACTGTAAAAAGACATGGTAAAAACAGGCACATCTCATAATTGTGTTACTGGGGTATAAAAATAACTAAAACAATCAAACTGTGACCATATGACCTTAGGGATTATTATCAAGCTACCCAGGAAGGTTTAGGGGCAAAAGGTGAAAAACTTTATCCTTCATTACAAGAATGCAAAGTGAAATGATGCAGGACATGTCTTTATTTTCTCTTCCTGTTTTTTCCCCCCGTATTCAGAATACAGAAATCCCCTTCCTGGGAATATTTACATGAATATCATTGGAAGTCCCCTGTGTTCTAGAGAGAATACTCTTCTAATTACGAAATTGCTTTAAGCATAACCAGCCCAAGTGAATATGTACCTTGCAAAGACTGTTGTGTTAGTGTCCCTAGAAGTTTCAGTGAGCTGTTCCTATGGACTGTAGAACTGACCTAAATGTGGGGAACCACCAGCTGGAGAAAGGTGATCCCAGGTCTACTCCTGTTAGGTGTCAGGAATTTGGGAAGCATACTTCTGATGTTGCCACTGTGGCTGTTTTCAGAAAATGAAATCTGTATGTAACATCTTTCAGGAAAGGAGGAGATTATCACATACGACGAGTGGAACAGGAAAATTCAAGGACACTTTGAAAAGCTGTTCTTTGTCTCTGAGAATCCAGCAGATCCCAATGAAAAACATCCAGATCTCGTTCACAAACGTGGAATTTATAAGGACAGCTATGGAGCTTCCAGTCCATGGTGTGATTACCAACTCAGGCCAAATTTTACAGTAGCAATGGTTGTGGTAAGTGAGGGGAAATGGGAGGAGGACTTGGTGCTTAAAATTGTCTTTACTGTTGAACTAAGCTTGCATTGTAAGGTCCATCTGCATGACACTGTATCAAGAATATACATTGCTAAGAATAAATTTTTGAAAGCTTCCCCCCACCCCCCATGCTTTTAATATTGATTCAGCTTGGACTATCTCCTAAAAATACAGCATGACAGGACTTGCCAGTTTGCAGTGTTTGATGTATTCAGAATGTTGTTTTAGATTAGGTCTGGGAGGCCACTTATCTCATCAGATTGGTTAAAAACCATGGGCTGCTATTGGATTTTTAAAGAGCTTCAGAAATAATATTTGACAAGTGTATTTAAAATAAAATTAAATTGAAGAAAGGACTGGATAGCTTCTGCCTTCATGCTTACTGAGTCAACTTGAACCTGCAAGGCAGAGTAATATAAAACTTGGGCTTTTTGTTGTCCTCTCCATTTGCATACACAGTCTTATGTATACGCACAGAGATTATTTGTGAAATCTGTATTACTTTATTAGGCCCCAGAGTTGTTCACACCTGAGAAAGCTTGGAAAGCTCTACAGATAGCAGAGGAAAAACTACTTGGTCCATTAGGCATGAAAACCTTAGACCCAGAGTAAGTACACTAGAGATAAGATTAAGTGTTAAATACAAAACAGGACAGTAGGAATTACTTCTTGTGGGAAAGGGAGTGGGGGGAGATAGTGTGTAAAATCCTCATACCTGTGAAATAAGGCTGCAGGAAGTACTTCCAGAACAATTGTTTTTCTGTTCTAGAAGTCCGTGCAATTGATTTTTTGTTTGTTTTGGATGCCACACAGTAAGCAAGTCAAATGTGGTGTCATAAAAGATGTTGAATTTGCATCTTGGGACATATTTATAAATGATAGAGTGCACATCACTACAGTTTGAGTAAAAGCAAAAGGGCAAAATTAGGAACTTAAGTCCTTCCAAGACATTAACTGTTTGCCTACTAGTTTAAACAATATTTGGAGTTCCACTGTTAATTAAATTACAGAACCTGGTGGAAACCCCCTTAACTTAAACATCATTAAATGTAAATGCCATGACAAATTTTTTGGTTAATTTCTGTTTTCCTTTTCTGTGTATTATTTTTGATAAGGCTTTCTTTGCATAATACATTTTTTCTTTCTTGCAGTGATATGGTGTACTGTGGAGTATATGATAATGCTCTTGACAATGACAACTACAATCTAGCCAGAGGTTTTAATTATCACCAAGGACCTGTAAGAGCCAGTCCCTTCAATTTTAGAGAAAGTGTTGTCTGCTTTTCAAATGGACTCCCTTTAGTAATAATCTCTTTTCCTGCCTTGTTTAGGAATGGGTGTGGCCAATTGGGTATTTTCTTCGTGCCAAATTGTACTTCTCTAGATTGATTGGTCCAGAGATACATGCAAAAACTATAGTTATGATTAAGAATGTTCTTTCTCGCCACTATGTTCATCTTGAAAGGTAAGATACCTGTTTGTTCTAGCTAGTGTATCTACCTATCCAATTTCATGTAAAAGTCAAAATCTACAATATAAACAGATATTGCAGATCACAAGTCAGGTTTCAAATTCAGGTGAGATCTAGTGCCTTTTATAGATTGAAAAATTATGGATACCCATATAAAGACTGGATGAAATAAATCTTATGTAAAAATTAGGATCTAATTTCAGAGAAAAATGTTGGTGAGGTTTTTCTTTTTTAAATCAAAGTATTTCAGAACAACCATTAAAACATATTAGTTAAAGGGGTAGTAGTGACAGATTAAAATTGCAGCAGATAAGATGATGCAAAATATCGTTAGGATTTCTTGTGTTTTAAGTGAGGAAACTAAGATTCTGAAACTGTCATACTAATAACCTTGCTATTCTAAGAAGACAGAGGAACTTGCTTTTTGAGTTCTCCCTCAGGCCAAACCACAAACACTGTTTTTCCTCTTCTGCAGTTTGGTAACACTCCTTGGGTTTTCTGTCTTATTAAAGTAGTGTACTTTGTTATGGTATTTCATAGTGTATAGAATAATAAATGTAGCAACAGGCTCGACTTATGAGTTTTCCTGTAAGAATGCTAGTTTGTGGGGTTCTTTACTCCTAGGAAGGCAGAAAAGGCCTGTGTAGTCACAGTACCTTCCAGATGTTATCTTTTAGTATCATAATTAATTTCAAGTGTAGTTGGAATGCCATTCAGTTATCTCACAGGTCATTCATATTCTTCCAAATGCAAAACTACTTGAATGAGAAACAGGAGCAACACACCAGTAGTGTAAGTTCAGTTGTTATTAGTAACAGAGTCTGATTTGAAGAAGACACCTCCACTACAATTCCCAGCTGCAGGGGAAAAAAATATTTAGCTTTTAATTATTAAAGGGCATACTGTGCCTGTAGGAGAGCAGATCTTTTGTCGTGCTTTTCAATTTCCTACTGAGTTAATCTTCTAAAAGGTTTTAAAATGTTCTTTTAATTTCAATCTACAATCTAACAACAATACTCACTTGTTTTTTCTTTTATTAGATCATCCTGGAAGGGGCTTCCAGAACTAACTAATGAAAATGGACAGTATTGTCCTTTTAGCTGTGAAACTCAGGCCTGGTCGATTGGTGTTATCCTTGAAGTCCTTTATGACTTGTAAAAGGTTATTTTGATTGATTTGATGAAACTTCTGTGGTCTTATTATTGGGCATAAATGAACACTTGGCTTACACTGCAAGGGAAATCAACTGTTCTGCACAATCAATTAAGCTGTGTCCTGGCTTTCAAAGATGCTGAACGCCAGCAGCTCCTGTGTCCTATAACTGTGTGGGGCTTGGGTTTTTTGCAAATCAGGCCATGACAATAAAATAAAACTGCAGTGCACACTTGATGCAGAAACTTCTAGTAAGGAGCAATTTTAAGAATATGCACAAACTAATTTTAAGTAGCTTTGGTTTTTTAGCCTTTTCAAATCAAAATCTTAATGTAACAAAACAGCTCCTTCCTGAGCTAAAAATAAGTAGCACAGCTCTTATGTTTTTTTTTCTTTGTCTCTTAAAGAGTAAATGGATGTTTTGCAAATGCATGCTTAAAGGGGAGTAGAATAACCTCTAGCTTTCTGAGTTTGGTATGCTTTTGCTCTAGCACCATACATTATTGAAGGCATAATATGTTGTCTCCCCATTGAACTGTATTATGGGGATTTTTTTTGTGTGTGTTCAATTGAACACTTCACAAAGAAACCACATAAATAAAGTGTATGAATATGAATACTGTAATAAACCAACCTTAAAAGTTACATATAAAATTTTGAGGACTTTACTTTGGGAGCTAATTCGAGCAATAATAAGATAATGTTCTATGTTAGTCCATCATTATTTATTTAAATACTGTGGGCCATGTAGCAAACTTGTTTCTTCATTTAAAACTGTTTTTCACCATGAGTAATTCATAAGAAATGTGCCTACAATGCACAGCCTATATGTTAGGAGAAGTCAAAGATAAGTCAATGTGCTTGACTGCTCAATTAAATGAATTTATTGAAGAGATATGGTCACCTCAGCCCTTCATTCGTGAGAAAGTCCTAGCTCTGTTGAAGTAGGTGGGAACACTTAATATCAATGGAAAGAGGTACTGACCTACGATCAGAAAGGAAAATATGAGGTTTCTGGGCCTTTTGAAATTTTGAAGTAACAATAAGCATGCTACCTCTGTGTGGTGTCCTTTGGGAACAAATCCAGTGACCATGATGCAAAACACATGTTTTTTTGTATTTGGATGCCTACATGCTTTTATTAAATTCAGTTCAGTATTCCCAGACTGAAGGGTGGTGAACAGAAGTTGCAGTTGGTAATTCTCAACTCTATTCATACAACTTTGTCCATCTTAGCACAATGAACAGGCAGAGAGTGAGGTTGAAAACTCTCCCCACATCACAGACAGGAAAGCAAAAGCACTGTTGCATTTCTTAATGTTAAACAACACATGCTGAAAAAAAATAAATACAGTATGTAATTATAATGCACTAAACATGTAGATGGAGATTTTATCATGTCTGTATTTTAATGTTTCTGTATCTTGTCCAAAGTACAGTGCCCACGTGCCGTCTTGTGCAGGGAGATGTATTACACATAGATACATGTGAGGGCAAGTTAACAGGCTGAGGAGAGATGAACTGTGAGAAGTGGTTGTATTCACACTATTTATTTGAAAAGTTAGTAAGCGTTTGAACTCCCTTGCTGAAGTGTTCAGTCCTTACAAGTTATGAGTAGGAAAGGTCTATATTATACCTTAACTTCTGAGCTGCTGCCGTACATGGGTTAGGAAATTTTTATTTTCTCAACACAATGCATAAGAAATGTCATTTGATCAAAAATGTTACTGAAATGTCAACTACAGATTATTTTTTTAATGTGCAAGAGGCATATAAAGTATTTTTCATACTGTACTGAATTTTCCAAAATGCTTGATAATGATATTAAGGTTTGTGTCCTACTGTATCACTACCTTTTTACTGTTCTCCTAGATATTTATTTCCTGTTTATTGTTTCAGGGTATGTTTTATAACTCCTTTGACTTAGAAAGCAGGAACAAGATGGCAGAAAAAATTGTTCTTACTTCCTGAAAACATTTTAAAATTGTAAGTGCAGCTTTGACTGTTGAAAAAGATTTCCTCCAGGTATCAAAATTAAATACATTGGCAATAACACTCTTTAAGTGTTAGGAAAAAAAACATGAGAAATTTTTCATCAAAACCTTCCTTTGTTATGTACAGATTACTTTCCACTGTTTTTCAAACCGCACTGCTGATAGAGACTGCATATTTGTCACTGCTAGGGATTTTTTTCTAATTTAGTAGTAAAATTTTAAAGATAAATCACTGCTGTGTACACAAAAATACATATGTTACGGAACTTCTAAACGTGCCCATTTATAATGTTGCTTCTGCACTGATTAGTTGAGCATAGTTTTAGTGACAAATATTTTAAATAGGGAAAAATATGTATTGGTTGACTTTGCTGTTAAGTAGCAACAAAAGTAAGATTGAAGGTCATTAACTTTAGAGGGGGGTGGTTTAATTGTTTGGGTTTTTTCTTTTTTTTTTTTTTTTTTCCTCAAAAAGCTACTCAACACTTTGTCAAGCCAGACAGTTTAAAAATGAAGAGGGAAGAAAACAATGTTAAAAATCTAACACAAAAGATGAGCTGATATGCATCTATATCAAGTAATTATCCCCTAAAATAGCTGACTTATGTTGACTGATCCTGAGATGTATTTTTCATTTATTAGTATCATTTATATTTTGCACTCAAAAACTTCTAGTAATGCAAAAATATAATTGGTAAAATATCTTTTAGAAGTAAACTAAAGAACTTGGTAAGAACTGTGCATCCATTGTGTTCCAGTTGGTGCTTCTTGATATGTATTGTCGTGTGGGTTTTTCCCTTCTAATTGAAATAATTTTAACTGTTACCAATGTTCACACAGTTTATAGGTCTTGATTTATTCAAGGATTATTAACTTGAGAATTCAAGTAAACTAATGTATCATTCTCACACTGCATGTTGTAATGTAAAATGGAAACATGTTTTACATGTATGTCTATCACAGCAACAACTGATTTTAGAAAATGTCATTATTCATTTCTGAAATGCACAAAATAAAATTCTTTAATTCAGAGTTAACCTTTTCATGTGGTTGTTTGGAAAAATAAGCAAAACTTTAGAGCTGATGTTGCTTGTTCACTTGTAGCAATTTTGTATTTTACGCGGGGGAGATCATTAACTGCTCCAATCAAATATTAATAACAAGAAGTGCTAACAACACTAGTCAACTTATTAAAAAACTGCATGAACTTGAGTCCTGTACACAGATTCTTGGGTTGGTGTCAATGTCAGCTCTCTCAGCTGGGTTTTAAGAGGGTTTGGGCTAGAAAGAGGTCTATGTGTGTCTTCTCCTATAAGTGATTATATAATTTTAAGTGATTGTATTGTAAATTATCCAAGAGGCCAGTCCTGGTATAACTGATTTACAGTTGGCCAAGTGATACACAGCGATTAACTTTCAGTGCAAAATTCCTATCACTATAAAGAGAGCATTTTCACTTTTCAGCTCTGCTTTGTAAAAACAGAATCTCACATCACAGGTGAGTGGGGTATCGAAGGTGTTTTGAAACTACACCATTTCATTGCATTCTTTATAAAAATAGGATTTTTCTAATCCTCTATTCAAGCATTTTCTTTAAGAAAGTAGTTTATTGTTCTATGGCATACTGCTTTTAATAGATATGCTGTTGAAAAGCAGTTAAGGAAATGTGGAAATGATCAGTTGCTGAGTTGCCCGGGGGAGCTGCTAAGGTCAGAGCTGCCAGCTCAGCCCTCATGGCACCTCCACCAGCTCAGTGGAAAATAATGGAGGAATAGATGGATGATGTGTTAGTGCTGACTGGCACGTTTCTCCTGGAAGCTCCAATGGGATTACAGATGGCAATCGGGGAAGCGCCTGCACTCGGGAAACTCGAGCTCTGCCCGCGCTGCCGTGTGAGGTGCGGTAGAACCCCGAGAGACACCGCCCATTTCATCACCTGAGGAAGGGTTTCCCCCTCCCAGACGGATGGGGCGAGGGATAAGCGGGCTTGTCTGAGGCTTCCGTGGGACCACCCAGCGCATCGCCTCAGCAGCGGGACGGGCGGGACATTGCCTGTGGGCTCCGAGCGGGCGGGCCGGGCCCGAGCGGCGCTGCCGGCACTCAGCCCGGGGCTCCTCAGGGACCAGAGTCACACACGGCAGCGACTGAGCCCTCACCGCTCGGGGAAACGGGAAACCTGCCCCACCGACAGAAAACTTCTTTGTCTTTTTAAAGTACAAACGTGCAAACTTGGCAGCTGTTGTGGTGGTACGACAGTGAACCTGAGAGCAATATAGAAAGATGAACCATCCAAGCTCAACTCTGCAGTCTCCTTGTGTTTCTGTAGGCACTTGTGCAGTCCTGTTGCTCCATTATGTGTTTACCTTATTGTAATACCTCCCTGAATCTGTTTCTTGCAGAAATCCTAATCTCTCTGTGATGTGTCTGTGCTATCTTACAACCTTTCATCACGTGTGGCTGCTCACCCTGTGCAATGATTTCATAGTACTACACAAATGAAGTTGAGTACCACTGACTATTTGACAAACAGTAAACTTATTCACCTCAATTCATGTAAACTTACATAGTTTATGAGATCGAGGAGCACTTCTCTTCCCTCTGTCCATCTGTGTGACAGGGGTATCTCAGTACAACTTCAGACAGAGACACTATTTTATGTATAGTGCCTTTTTTCAATGAGAATGAAAGTTGGCCATGGAAGAAGAGAGTTATGCTGCAGCCTGACAAGGATCCTAAGCAGGAGACCTTGGCTCTAGGTACTGATGGAGGTAAGTTTCTCATATTAAATTTTATAATAAATATGGAGTTCTGTGTTTCTGAGTTCTAAGTCTGACTTTGTCAAATAAACTGGAGCTTAATTTTGTGTAGTGATGAGAAACAAGATACTGTCTTCTGATCAGTTCTAAAGGAAGAAAGATATTTGCAGAAACACAAGTCACAGATTTGTTTTTTAATTAATATTAATTCATTATAATATGATGAGTTAGAGTGGGATTAAGTGATAACAGTTGAAGTCTCATTTTTTTAGAGGTGATTTTTAGAGTCACAATGAAATTGAAAAACTTAGAGAAGCTAGAAGAAAGATTTATTTCTTGCAATTGACCTCTCAAGAGAAAGGTGTCTACAAAATGAACAAATTTTTGTGGATATGTTCAAAAGCTGTTTTTTAAATATCTTTATAATTGTTTCTATGGCCATTGTCTATCAGGGTCCTATATACAGCCTAGACCTGGAGAGTGTTCCTGTTTTAATATGTGCAGTGAAAATGGGTTCCAAATGCAGGAATAAGGCTCATAACTGCTTGTGTAACATCATGAAGAGCAGCAAACTAATGAAGTCATATTAACTTAGCAAGGGCAGTTGTTGGAGGGCCATAGTCAGGTAAGTATTGTCCAGATGTGTGTGGTATTATGCCTAAGGAGGGTTGGGGATAGGATTTTGAAAAGAGTATATAAATTTTGTGGATGTGAATGATTGGTATCAGGGATGACATGTTAGAAGGGATCTTACCCGAATGTGTGATAATCCAGAGACGAGCACGGTGGGCTGGCTGCAGGTGAACATCTCAGTGGAAAGCTGGGGATGGTAAGTCGGATAAGAATAGTGCAACTGTTTATCATAGCTGAAAAATGAACATTTCCAGGTTCGTAGCGCAGGGTG